ATATGTAAATCATAGCGATTAAGGCTATAAATTTTTTAAACATGTGCATGAATTAAATTTAATGTATTGAACATTATAGCATTAACATTAAAAAAAAAAGCACATTTTACATTAATGAAATAATGACCCATATCATCAAAACTTGTTCTAACCAGTTTTTTTTTTTTGCTTTTTACATGTAGATGAATAATGTCTGCAAATTTTGTTAAAAACTATAATAATGTAATGTATTGTTTTGTTACAGTCAATGTTATAACAAAATTTTGTTAATGTTTTTTAACCTTTCTCAAATAATTGAATGTTAAATAAAAAAAAAAGTTGTGGTAATTCTTTAAAATATTGCAGTTTTGCTTTTAAAAATTTAGTTTTTTTTTTTTAAGTAAAGCAATTTTTTATATTCCACCTTTGCAAGGTAAGAATGCACATTACTGTTAAATCTCTATGAATTGATCTACTCTAATTATAGCTATCAATGCTCTCATATATATTAATTATATTCTGAGTAAATAAAAGCATGATCATGTATTATGACAGCATATTGGTGGTAATTTACAGTTATAGCCATTTTATATTTTATATGTATGTATGTAATTTGTTCATAGTTACTTAACTTGCTAATATCACTAACAGCAGATTCCTTTATTTTCAAAGTTTAAATAACATAATAAATTATGTTGAATTAATTTTAACAAATTACGGCTTCGAACTCAAGCCACACCATAAAAGTATTAAAATTCTAAAATGTAAAATTTTAAATTATTTAAACTAAAATTTTGGATTTTTAATAATTCACATGAATTTTAAGAATGAAAAAGTGGAAAAATTGGGCGACTATATTTATTTTTCTTGGCGACTATATTTATTTTCAGTGAAAATTAATGATTTAAGGATGTATGCCAATGGTAAAGAAAAATGTTCAACTAAACAAAATAAGGGGAAGCCTCAGGATGTTAAAATCTTTAGAAATAACCTTATAAAAACCACAGACATTTAAGACAAGAAGTGATTGAATTCTATTAATTAACCTGAAATACAACCTTTATATATTTATTATCGTATGAACTTATATCATGTGTCTTAGAGAATACGATAAACCAAACTATTTTCCATAAAACAATTTTTATGAAAAAAAACGGTATATTAGTACACCCATGAATGAGTTTGTCATTAAGAAAAAGTGGCCTGACCATGCTATCGTATTATTCAAGCCCTGTATACATTTATGTCAACTTTATGTTTGATCTATAAAATGTTGATAGATCATCATTTGATATTAATTACAAATGGTCCAATAGTCTTGGGACCCAAACCAACAAAAACTAAATGTGCCCTCGTTAAATTTTTTGAAAAGAAATTTTATATTTCTATTTATGAATTATGAAACACGTATGCCTACATATACATACATACGCATATTTTTATATAATATAGTAAAAATGTTTTCTTTTTTTTGTTTTTAATATTTTCATAATAAGTTTATTAATTATTTTATTTGAATTTTTGATTGACATTTTCGAAATCTTTATCAAAAATTTTTTATTTTATAATATGCCTATAAAACTTAAAATATGCCTATATGCTTGTTAAAACTTAATTTAATAAAAACTATACTTAATTATGAAAACAAAGCATTTTTGTAACAATAAAAAAATTTACTCGAAATAAAAACTTGAAAATTAACAAGAGATTATAAGAAATGCACCTGAATAACGTAGCATAAAATAACAAGATTAAAGAAATTTAAATAAATTAAATTAAAATTAAAACCTTCAAATATTACGAATTCTCAAAATATTTACCACTCTTTAACAAAATAAAAGTTCATTCATTCAAAAACAAAAATGATTCCTATCGCTACCGAAATTAAATTTTTTTTTTTGTATTAATTTAAACATGCAGCTTGTTGCATCAATAACCTGCACTTAATCATCATCTTTATATCACAAAAACATTGACAGTTCAGTAAAGAAAATGTTTAAAAAAAAGAACGCTTAAACTATTATTGGCGATGAAGTAAAACCTTGGCATAAATTTATTTTTTTTTGTATTCTGGTTTCTTTTTTCAATTTATTTGTTTGTTTTTTTTTTTGGGATTCAATACTAACTAAAACCCAGAAAGAAAAAAATAAACAAGTTAATAAAATATTTCGCAAGATTATAATTTTTAACATGATTCTCAATTTTAATATTTTTTTACATAAAATGCGATTTTTAATTTAATTTTATAAGACAAAATTATTTTTAAATCAAAATTATTATAAGAAATCACCTTTCTAGTAAGGTATTACAACAAGGTACGAAAGCAGAAAATTTCATTTATAATTTTAATTTTTATTAATCTTCTGTTTAAGTAATTGGTAGCATCCCCCATCGAAAACATTTGTTTTCAAACATTATAAAAGACCACAAATAAAATGTCCCCACTTAATTCATAAACCACATATACTCAAAAAGTGTATTTAATTGAAAAAACTGAATACGTAAAATTTCGTACTCAACTCATTTCCTATTCCTTTTCAATTCCATATTAATTTTATTTTATGTAATTGAATAAAAACGCAGCTAGCTTATCAACTATAAATGAAATTGTTGTACATAAACTGAATTGCAAAAATTTAATTCACTTTTAAACAAAATATAACAAAATAAAACTACCCACACAGAAACGTTTTAACACAAAATTATTTTAAAACTAGTATAGAAATCATAAGAAAATTAAAGTTTACCGCAACACTTAACATCATTATTGTGATTTATTATGACTAATAAACGGAAGTACTTACATACGTATACGCTATCTATAAAACAATTAACTTCTATTGTAAAACTTTACAACAATTGAACACAAATACTAAGTGTAAGAGAAAAACAAACGGACAAAATCATGAAATTGACATTTACAAAAATTTTTTAAACAAAATTTATTATGCGAATTATCTTTTTGATAACATTACATAATTATTGTAGAAAAAGAAAGATTTGTGGCAGAGACATATTAGAGAATCTTAAGTGATTTTATTCTGCGAAAAAGTAAGAAGACTCCTAGAATTGTCATTGTTAAAAATTTTCAAAAATAGCAGTATGGTTGAGTTAGTTAGATCCTTGTTGTGCCAAGACATCAAAATTTTTCCACAAAAAAAAAAACAAATTAACTGTGAAACATGCTGCCACAAGTATTCAAGCAAAAACATATCTGTAAAAAAAATTTCTTAAAACGATTGAACGAAAACATTCAAAATAGAAGATTCACCGAAACAAAGTCAAATCCACTTTATTTAAAAAGAAATAACTAGAAATACAGTCGATACAAAAAAGACCAAAGTAAAATCGGAAACTATCTTTTCTAACATGTGAACACAAACCAAATCCGAACTTTAATTTCAACATTATTTCCACAAAAAATTCTTACTTGTTCGGTAATATTTCAGACCTTTTTGCCAATGTAAATCAATTCGACTTTATTTAAATTGAAATTCTAATTGTAGCGTCCTTTATTTAATTTTAATATTTAATTTTTTTCTGTATAGTCTGGTGTATCGCATTTTCTTTTTTTGAAAATAAGTTCGATTCCTTTACAGATCATAATTTCATTATGATCTCTTTGATTTTGTTTCTAATCACTTTTTTTTAGAAATAAACTGATAATTATCTCTTTCTCTGACTTACAAATTTTCCGTTCAATAAATTAATCGTTTCCCTGCATGGAAAAGAATAATATTTTCCATAGAAAAATCATTTTCTATAGAAGAGACATCTGGGGAGAAGACATTTTTCAATAATATGATAAAATTGCAAAACAAGTGATTCAACTTCATGATCGCTATACAGAATTTGTCTATCTCAAAATCATAATCTCAAAACAAAATTTTATTTACTTTTTTGCTAAAAATTAAACAAACATGGAATAGAATCCTTAACTGTGATTAGTATAGATGAAACTACATAACAACTGGATTAAATACTTTCACTTATTTGAAAGTATAAATAATGTCCTAAAAATGATCTGAACCGACTGAATTATATCCTGCACCTTAAAAATATAAAAATTTGTGCAGTCCAATTACAAAAGGGTCATTTTTGAGTTATTGTGCCATCGGGCGGACAGACGGATGGACATGTCTAAATCAATGCAAAATTTTACGTTGAACAAGAGTAAATAAACATGCTCATACCGCAGATGACTCTTTCAAGTTGTTACAAACTCTTTATCAAAGTTAATATACCCTTCAAGGAGGTGTAGAGTATAAAAAAAGTGATATGCATATATTACAATTCCATGTAAATTCTAGGTGCAGACAAAATTTGAAAAAATTTGTTAATAAGTTTAAGAGCAATAAAACAAAGTATTTCGTTTTCATGACTTTTTATATAAAATACTTTAGAGTAACACAAATAAAATTATGTTCGCTTAATCTTCAAGTTACTCCTAAAAATAAGAAGTAGATCTATGATTAGTTCTGCTTTAATGTGTTTTAATAATATTGCAGGATAAATAAGTGTATCACTTATTCAATACAATATTATTACTGAGAGTTAAAAATTAATTAAATAATTTGTTTTATATTTAAACTACAACTCCCTTTACACTACGTAACATTCCTTGTCTTAATTTACATCTACATAAAAGATAATGAGACAAATGCCGCGTTTATTTTATTTTCTTTAAATTCCAATATTCCTAACTAAATAATAAGTAAATGTCCTAAGAATATGCAATCCTAAAAATGTGAACAGGAGTTTCAATTAGCAATAACAAATACAAATATTTTAAAAAGAAAAAATCTCTACTAAAAATTTATTCCTAAACCTTAACAATGTTGATAACAAAACGATTAGAAAAACTTGGAACTGTTCACCTTACGTTGAACTTGAAAATATTTTATAATTTTGGTAGATAATTAGGAGAATTTTATTTCCGTACAACAAATAAGTTCTAAACTAAATCTTTTGTATTTTCAAAAGAGTACTATATTAATTTTTTTAATTTCTTATAATTTCAGATATGGTTTAACATATGAAGAAATTGAAAAAGGTTTACCCACAATAGATACATCAAAAACATTAATACGCGAAGTTTGTCCTCCATTTTTCTCTGGTGTTGAATGTCGACCTGGAAAATATCGTCGTTTTGATGGCTTATGTAATAATATTGATAATCCAACATGGGGTGCTAAAGGATCACCATTCCAACGTTTAATAGGACCGTTATATGCTGATGGTATTAATGCACCAAGAATTTCAGTAACTGGACGTGATTTACCATTATCACGTGTTGTATCACGTACATTACATCCTGATGAAGGTTATCATGATCATGCTGGTACTGTTATGGTAATCGCTTGGGGTCAATTTATGGATCATGATTTTACATTAACAGGAACACCATTAGGTTCGGTTTTGAAATAATAAATGTTTTTAAAATAAATTTTTTTTTTAATTTTTATTGTTTTGATTTGATTGACTTATTTTTTTAATGCAAATTATTTAATTAAAGATTTTCATTTGATTAAAATTGAAAATAAAATTTCAGTATACAAAATGACCTCATATTTCTTAAGTAAAACTTAATAGTTTTGGAATAAATTAAAATATTTTTATTCATTTTTGTGATTCAGATCCAATAAACCGTAACGATCCAGAAGAATGTTGCAAACGTCCATTACATTTGAAACATCCATATTGTAATGAAATTCGTATTCCAGATGATGACTATTTTTACAGATTGTTTAACGTAAAATGTATAGATTTTGTACGTGCATTCCCGTCACCCAGACCTGGTTGTAAACTTGGTAAGTTTGAATAAATTTAATTATTTTTTAGTCCCTTAAGAAGCATTAATGATTTGTTAGAAAAATTTTCTTTTAAATCATTATCATAATTATAACTTTAGTAACTTCAAACCCATAATCAACTTAAATTCATTTTCACGCTAAATTACATTTTAAGTATTTCAAGTAGTGCAGTAAAATAAACAATATTCCTTTTTGGCTTTTACATTATAATTTAAATATTTCAGAAATGCCTTCGTTATAACAAATATAAAGAAATTGATTTAAATTTTGCAGTAATTTGTAATTTTTTAAATTTTAAAATTCAATTATTACGAAAAGAGTTTTCAAACACTTTAAAAATTAATTTTCAAAAAAAAATTTGCATATTTTGGAAATAACATGTTTTAAATCATTTCATATCATATCTTTTTATTAATTTCAGGATCAAGACAACAGTTCAATATTTTAACTGGTGTCATTGACGCTAACACAGTTTATGGAGTAACAGAACAATTTGCTCGTAAACTTCGTACTGGTTATGGTGGTCTTTTAAGAATGAATCCAGTATTTGCAGAATATGGTCTTAAAGATTTATTACCCTTAAAATTGGATATTCCAGATGAAGGTTGTACACGTCCAAATAAAAGCATGTTCTGTTTTGAAGCAGGAGAAATCCGTGTAAATGAACAACTTGTTCTCACCTGTATGCACACATTAATGGCACGTGAACATAATCGTCTTGCCAATGGATTAGCTCAAATTAATCCACACTGGGATGATGAAACATTATTCCAAGAAGCACGTAGAATTAATATTGCTACTGTTCAACATGTTACGTACAATGAATTCTTACCGATTTTATTAGGTAAAGATATTATGGAAAAATTCGGTTTAGTATTACAAAAGGAAGGTTATTGGGATGGTTACGATCCAAAAGTTAATCCTGGTATTATTGATGCATTTGCTGGCGCTGCATTCCGTTTCGGACATTCGTTATTACCGACGGCAGTTGAACGTTGGTCAAAAGCACATAAATTTATTGCATCAAAACGATTATCCGATTTAATTCGACGACCCTATGATTTATATCGTGCTGGTGTATTTGATGAATACTTTATGGGATTAATGAATCAGGTTGCACAAGCTATGGACGATTCAATTACACAAGAAGTTACAAATCACTTATTTAAAAAGGAAGGTGCAAGATTTGGAATGGATTTAGTATCATTTAATATGCAGAGAGGTCGTGAATTTGGATTACCTGGTTATATGGAATTTAGAAAATTCTGTGGTTTACCTATTTCAAATACTTGGGATGAAATGTTTGGTTCTATGCCAAATGAAACAATAACTAGATATAGAAGCATTTTTGAGTGAGTTTTAATTCATCTTTGTGCTCATATAAATTGACACAGAAACCTACATATATTCAATATTCAATCATAAAATATATATTTTTTATACTTATAAATATTATTAAATAAAAAATATTTAGACATCCAGCTGATATTGACTTATGGTCTGGTGGTGTATCAGAAAAATCTTTACCTGGATCAATGTTGGGACCAACTTTTGCATGTGTAATTGCAACACAAATGAGTTATTCAAGACGTGGTGATCGTTTCTGGTATGAGTTACCAAATCAACCTTCTTCATTTACACCAGATCAATTACAAGAAATTAGAAAAACAAAATTATCACGATTAATATGTGATAATACAGATTTAATAGATACGACGCAAATTTATCCAATGGTTTTACCAGATCATGAGATGTAAGATTGAAATTTATAATAATTTTATGTTAAAATTATGAAAAGCGGAATTTTAATATTAAAATCCACTTATTATTGATAAATGTAAATTATTATATTTTTAATTCGTTTCATTTTAGTAATCCAAGAGTGCCATGTAAAGCTGGTATTATTCCATCAATAGATCTTTCAAAATGGGCTGATTTCCAACATGATTTTGCACCACATCAATACGTAAGTTAAAATGTGTTTATTTTACAATATATTGTACATACATACATAATATAATAAATAAACGTGTGCAATCAATGTGGTTTTAATGTAATTCAAACAGAGTGGTAACATTTAATTGAAATTTCCAATGAGTTCCGATAAAAATTTGGTATACAAATATAACTGCACCCATTTACAGTTTTTGAAATAGAAAAGTAACATACACTTTATATAACAAATTCTAATTTTGTAAATATAACAGTTTTACTTATATTTCACCATTTCGTATTAAACAAATATTCAGACAATTCGAATTTGTTTAGTATAACAAAATATATTAAGTATATTAACTTAATTTAAATCAAAATATTAAATTTTGAACCCTATTATTGAGCTAATTGAAAATTGCCTGAACCAAAATCAAATTCTTTATTAATTAACAAATATTTTAAAGTTTTTCTTCTCATATTTTTTTTATATTTTCAGAATATATTGAATGAACTTCCTGATACAGTGGTGAGCTTCAAGAAGAAATAAATATAACAAAAAAAAAAAAAAAAACTAATTTGAATTTAAAAAATTAATCAAAAAAAAAAAAACACATAAAAAGAAAATTGTCCATTAATTTTAAATTTCTTCCTCCTTTTTAAATTTGCGCACACACATTTACATAATCCTAGAAATATTTAGATTATAAAATTCATATACAACTCCTAAATCCGCCTCCTCCATTTCTCAGTCTAAAATTCCTCACCTTTTTTTTTTAATTTTGTTTATTTTGATTTTTTTTTATTTTTATAATTAAATTTTATTATTTTTAATATTTCTATTTATTTTTAATTTACTTAGTTTTGTTTTGTTCTCCCTAAAATATTTTTTTTTGGCCATTATGTGCACACTCTTTAATTTCTTTTTAGAACAATTTTTTTTTTGACTTCTTTTGTATAATATAGAAAGAAAAAATATTATATAATTAAGATAAATTTCCTACTAAGTCTTTTGCCATAAACTAGAAAAAAAAAATTGTTATTCTTATTATACAATTGTTAAAAGAAAAATTTTATATTACAAAAGAAGTAAAAAAGAAAAAAGATTTTCTTTAATTGTATTAGAAAATATTTTAAACTTAATAAATTAATAATTAAAGTATACATATATATAATATATTATGATAAAAACAAAAAAAAGAACAACAAGAAAACAAATTATTATAAAACCAACATTACTAAATTTTTTATTGTTAATCCTTAAAACTTAAAATTCCTTATTTTAATCAATTTTAATCGAAAATATTTAATTAAATTTTGTATATGGGTACGTAAAAAAAAAAATTAGCACTTTTAGACAAAAAACTTTTGAAAATTCAAATAAAATATTCAAAAATAGTAGTATAAATAATAATAATACAAGTGTGGTTGCCTATAATAAATTAATTCTTTTTTCGGTATACAATATAAATATATAGAAATAAAGAAATTTTAATGTACAGTGCAATTTAATTTAATTTTCTATAATAATAATAATAATAGTAAAACAATAGTAACAATTAAATAAAATTTGAAATTTTTTTAAATAATGATTTTAAGTAGAACAAAAATATTATATAATAATTTTTAAACTGTATATTAAGTATATTTTAATTATGTATAACATTATATATGTAGATTATATGTATATATACATATATAATATTTAATTTTTTAATTTTGGCACTTTTTCATTCAAATTTAACTTTTAACCATTTTATATTATTATATTAATAATCAGATATAATGTATATTCCTATATATATCCCTATATATATATATATATATTTATAAAATGCACTGTAGTTTTAGGGTTAACAATATTAAATATTAAAATAGAATGGGTTTTAAGACGAAAAAAAAATTTTTTTTATTATGTAATTTAATATTTATATATAATATTATATACATTATATACTTTTCTTTATATATATATGTATTAAAAAAGATTTATGTGTAAAATTTTTTTTTTTAAAATATAAAATTTTGTAAATAATCTTTTAATTATTATTTTAATTAAACAATTATATATTTTATCATATAAATATTATTAATTTCTATATAAACATTATATTATTTCTTTATATAAAAAATATCACACCAAATTCAAAATTTCTTCTTCTCTCCATTGAAATAATTTGAAAATATTTTTTGTTTTTTCTTCAAAATCTAAATTTGAAAAGTAAATTTCCTCTATACATACCTATATATACTTATATAACATAAATTGAATGAAATGCATCTTTGGTATATTTATAAATTCTATGTTATTATTATAATGGTTCTTCATGTGGTATACTTTTTTTTTCTTTCATAAGTCTATTTTTGATTTATTTTATATATACCATTTAACTACATAACCTACATTATATATTATGTTCTAAAACTTTTATATTCCTTAAAATTAAACAATATTTGGATGAATGTTACAAATCTGAATGGATGTAAATAAGTATATATATATTTTATGTTCAATGTGATTTTCAATTAATACACATATTTATTTATGTATGTATATGTTTTACAATTAATAAAAAAAAAAATGTGACTAAAATTCAAGAAATCTTCATTATAATATACATTGATTATGACAGATGTTATTTATTAGAAAATTAAATCAAAATTATATTGTTATATTGGAATTACTGTTGTCATTACAAAATTTTTTCATTCGATAATCTTGTAATTTTGATAGTGTTCTTTTGATAAACAAAATTAATGTTATACATTTAACATCTGCCATTATAACTCATACATTTTATTCTACAAAAGTTGCAAAATATTGAAATGTGTATATATATATATATATATATATATCTATTTATGTGTAGCTGTATGTTTTTCTGTAATTAATATGTATTTGATTATAAAGCAAATACAATAGCGAAAATATTGTTTTTCCATCAAATTTTCTGTAAGAAAGAATAACCAAAAAAGAATGGTTTTTAACGGGTTGCGAGTTCTTTAAACAATTAGCAACTCGGGACTAGAAAATTCTTTTTTTAAAGAAAATTCTTTTTTTTTTTCTTTTAATTCCGCACATAATGTTTACAAATATACGGTACAAGAAACAAATCACTTTAATTCTCAAAGAAACTAGATCATAAAAACTCTTGACTTGCAAAATATTAGCAAGAATCATTTGTATAATAAACGAAATATTAATTAAATGTTATGAAGAATTCGATTTTGCATATAAAATAGCAATAGCTTTAAAACTGAAAACCATATGAAGTACTTATATCTTGAAGTACTTATATCTAGAATAGTTTATGAAAATTAAGGACTTATCGGTAAGGACTTTTGAATTACATTCTATTTTTGACTTATTTTTTACTATTATTTACTTATTTTTAAAAATGAGTGTGCTCGTTCATCATCATCAATACCTTCTATATGTAGGCTACAGCAATAAATTTGAGTGATAATTTCAAAATTTTAAAAAATTAAAAAAGTTATGGAATAATCTACTGCTTACTATCTACTTTTTCATATGTTTAAATAAAGATAAAATTTTATACTGAATTTTCATTTTAACTGAATTTTTGGTGAACTGGCAATATTATTTTCTGTTCGTTCTTATCTTTAATATTTTAAATTACATATGCTTTCTTACACAAAGCATAGTTTAGCTGGAACTATTTTATAAGTGGTATATAAAAGCACTTAAAACAAAAATATTTTTTAAGATATTTTACGCTTCTAAACAAGAAACGATAACAAATTTAGAAAATTTCGAATTATGAGAATTGATGAATATGTTTAATAAAGCAAAACTTTTATTTGCCATTTCTTTACTAATTTTTATTATTGAAACAAATTAAATGTAACCATAATGCAATTAATATTTATTGTATTAAACTCCTTCTATTTAAAATGCAATTATTATTGACACTTAGTCACTACAAAATACAAAATCGTAATTAATTCATTTTAATTTTTTACTCATCTTCGTAAAAATAAAAATGAAAATGTTAAGTAAGGTTTAACATTTTTGAATTATGCAATAAATAAAATTATTTAGTTGCTGAATAAAATATCACTTTTGTTTCATTAAAATTTCACAAAAATGTTATACCTTTTTTTGATATTATTCTCATATACACACATACATGTAAAAAATACCTGTGTTTTTTGTTTTAATATTAAATTACTTAATTTTCATTCTATTAGAGTACGCATGGGATTTTTTTTATAATAAAAAAAATTAAAAAGTGAAAGCAGGTATTTGATAAAAAAAAACCTATGCTTTTTTCCTCGCTATCTACTTATAAAAATATTTTTAAAAAAAATTAATTTGAAATGTAAATTTAGATCAAAAAAAAAAACGAAATGTAAACTATTAAAAAAATTTAACAAGAAAAAAGGCAAAAACGCATAATAAATCAGAATGAAAGCAATTTTTGCCTGTTATTAATTTTTTACTGTTATTGTTTCTTTTTTGCGTCCACACTACTTACTTAACTATTGATTTTGTAATGAGCGACCTCTTGTTAATAATTCATAGACATATTTGTAACTACATACAAGTATGTATATACACATATACTATAGGCGACTAAATATTCCAAAAAATATTTTATATGAAATATTTACATATATGTACAGGGTTCCCGAACATGATTTTTAACTTAAGAAATATCCATTGTACCTTAGCTTGAGTTTATATTTGCAGTGATAAGTTGTTTATATTTGCAGTGCAGTCACAGCTTGTTTTTGTTTCCTTACTATAAAAAGAAAGCAGTCCGTTTTAGTTTATAGCTTTCAGAGTTCTATCAACAAGTTCTATCAGAGAATGTGCGGAAAACAAAATTAATACTATTTTAGTGTAGCTATTTAAATACTTGTTTTAGTTCTATTTCAGCAGAGCCCTACAAATATTGTAAGGCATAATATATTGAGCAGTTGAAAACATGAAATCAATCTTTAGATACGTATTAGATATTCGGGGTTTTCGTTTATTCATTTCTAGAATAGTTCTAACTTGTAGTACGTTCGAAAATTTCCGCTACATACACTGAAAATATTGAGCTTTCGGAAATTACTGACTGCAATAAAGTGCATTCGGAAATTCAATCTGCAATAAAGAAATGTTAGAAATTAGCGCAGACCTGTAGTATAAATTTTCTCGCTGCCTCATGAAATTTCTTTTTTTAAATTTAAAATTAAAACAAAATTCTTTTTTTTTTTTATTGGTATGAAAAGAAAACTTCCTTTTATTCGGAATAAAATACTTTTTTTATTTTTTGCTAATATATTTCGCGCGCTACATACGCACTTTATCAAAGCTGATTTTCTTCTACGAGTATAAAGTATTTTATTCCGAATAAAACAAAATTTTAAATTTCAAAATGTCATATGCAGATATTGAAGGGTTATTAAAATAAGTTTTCTTTAAGTTTTCTTTAAATCTTGTTAAAATTTCCTTATTTTGCAGTGAATTGGTAGTTTCAGAATTTGTAGACTTCGTAAACAAATAAGACTTAGCAAAAGTTTCTGCATATACTGTTTAACGCTGCAGCTTAGAAATTTAAGATGTAATACAGAACTTTCAGCGCAGCGTGCGTAAACAAAAACCCCCATTGGCTTTATTTAAGGCAGAATTTAAACATTAAATAACATTTATATACATTCCTGTTGGATTAGAATTGCTTGGCGTTCTATTTTTTTTTTGTTTCCATAAAACAAAATCGGCGGACTTTTAAATATCAAATTTTTATTGCATCTTTTATTTAAATCAAAAAAATATGTAAAAATGTAAAAGAATGTCTCATAAATTTTAGAATAATTTTATGTAAGACTATAATATCATAACAGTGCAATATTAATATTAATAACTAAAATGATAGCGGAAGTTATTGCAGTTCAGCTTGTTCAATCTTAAAAAGAAATTTTAAAAAGTTACACGATTCTTGAATATCTTTGAATTTCATACGCAATGTAAAAGTCATATTAAACTCCAAAATAATTATTAAACAAAAACAGTAAAAAGGAATTATTAAATTCAAAGAACATTTCACTGTTTTTTACTCAAATGTAAAAATAAGAAATTTTACTTTCTCATGGTTTAAATTTATAAGATAACTCTAAAAATAATAAGAGCTATTCTGGAATCACTACATGATAGAAATTATCGTATAAAAAGTTCGATATTATTATTGTAAACACAAACCAATTTACACAAATGATTTCTCTGTGTTATGCAATATTGAAGGATTTTTTCCATGTTATGGGAATCTAAATCCATTCACACTATACTGACTAATATGACCATGTATATAACCAGATTCAAGTATAACAGATTTGTCACATGTCACTTGTTTGGTACAATCATTTTTGTATTGTGCGCTTTTGATGTTTACTGATTCTAGGAATAATTCTTGGAGTTTTTAATTATTTTGTTTCAGAATAGAACAACATTTGATACTCCGCACAGAATAAGCTCCAATCTTGTATAAAATACCCAAATATACACAAAATTTCGAATACAAATATTTTCGAATTGTATAAAGTTACATTCCAAATAAAATAACATGCACTTTACTATATTGGCTTTATTCCAAAACAGTTAAGTTTATATACTAAAAATATTCAAATGCAATGTAAATAAGAATTTACAAAAATTTCATCTTAAAATTTTTCATCTTTTAGACTCATTTCAAAATATTCCTTTAGAAATCTTTGTATATTTAAATTATGTAAATTTAATTTTATTGTAAATAAGTTTTTCTTTTGAATATATACAATTATGAATATCTTCATTATATACTTATATATTTATCATGTATAAATAAAAGAAAATGTAGCTTTAAGTAAATTGTTAAAAGAAAAAGGAAACCTATAGTAAAAGGAAACCCTTTACCTCTATTTTAGTTAATCTTTATTTTTTTTTATTAAATAAAATTATTAAAATAATTTGTAAAAAAACAAAAATTTGTTTTTGGTTTTATTTGATTCCGTACATCTAATGTATAAAAGTTATTTTTAAAAGTGAAAACTTAGGGGCAATAAATTATTGGTTTTTTGAGAAGAGATTTGGGTATACCCTTTGGTTTGTTTAGATTTTTATGATTAAAAGAACGTTTGGTATTATGAACTTGGTAATAATTCATTAATGTTTATCAATAGTACATATATATTGCATAATCTTAATATTATTCAATTAAATACTATAGATTAAAGAAATCCTTACACTCCATAGGAATTTATGGTAAGTTGCACGTAAATATATACTAAAACAAGAACTTCCCTACAATATAAGGACTTAAATTTTATAAAAAAAAATTACTTTATTGGACACAACGAATAGGAACAAATACATTGATTTCTTATTTATAAATAATATGAAAAATTATTAAATTTCAATTTATAATTTTTAATTTAAAATTATTTCATATTAAAATCGACAAAATATAATAAAATTTTTGAATACTTGCCTTTCGTTCACAAATTTGAATAACAATAATTGCACCAACATAATTATTTATCATCGATATTTTATAAACCAATGGGGCTTATTCCAAGTATCGAATCACTAAATGATAGTACTATGTATCGTGAAAATTTCAAAAATCTTATTATAGACACGAGCAATTTGTATGAATTGATTTGTGTTTACAATAATATCGAATTTTTTACGACAAATATCACTATCACATTTAGTGAGCCGATACTCAAGATTAAGCCCAATATTGTATTGGCATGTTGTGTTATTATTGAAGTCTCTCTTGGAAATTAATTATATTGTTTCCTGGACTTATATAAAAAAAAATCAAATCTTAATTGATAAAATTAAAATTCTAAATAAATTTAACTATGATCGTAAAATGCAAAAATGTACGCGAAGAAAAATTTTTTTCCTCAAATTTTTTAATTTTAATTTAAGATTTATATTATAAAATTTATACTAATTAATTAAATAATATTAATTAGTATTTGAATATGCATGATGTCCTTTATTTAGAACTGATTTTCAGGTATTAACTATCCTTGCAAATATATGATATACATATAATTTGAAATTTATTTTTTTTATAATGAATATAAAATTAATCAAGTAAGTAAACTTAGTTAAATATGCTATTTGAATTAAGAGCAAATATTTTAAATTCAGGGCTATAATATAAGGTATGGTACCTTTGCAAAATCTTTTGCATTTATTTTATAAATTATAAATATATAGAAGAATTTTAATAAAAATAATTTTGCACTTTTGTAATAAATATTTCATCAAATTTTTAATTTAGTTTTCCTTAACACATTCTTTATTTATTTTTAATAATTCTATTTGATCATTTGATTTTTCTTAATTTTATTTGTATTAATAATTAAAATATCTAAAATATTTAGAGTCAAAGTAGTAATAAAAATATAAGGATTGGTATTTTTATTTTATTTATTTCTTTATTTATTATTGTTTTGATAAAAAATAATTTAATTACACAAAATATAAATACATATAATTTTATAAAGCGTTTCTTTTTCATTTACAATATAATTTTTTGAGTACAGATGGCATTTCTAGTTGAAAATTTACGCAGGAGACGTACACCCGAAATGGATACATCATCAACAAGAGTATATGGATATTATGATACTAAAACGGGATTATATAAAAATATAACAGAGAGGCAAATACCACCAGAATATAAAAAACATTTATTATTATTAAAAAATCCACATTATCGGCAATTTCATAAAAATCCTTATACTAGAGCTAAATTTTTATATTCAAGAAAACCGATTTTTACAAATAAGGATCTTGAAAAAGCTTTTAAATTAAAAAATAAACAAGATTTTAATTTAAAAAGCAGACCACATTAATTACATACATGTATAGAGAAAAAATATATTTAACATTAAAAATAACATTTTCGAAATTTTTTTTTTTTTATTGTTTTTTAAATTTAAAATTTCAATTAAAGTGTAAAATAAAAAAATTTCAAAAAAAAAAATTAATTAATATTTGATGTAGACTAGCATGCAACGAAAAGTATAATAAAAATTTTGATATGAACAAAAACACACATAAAATTTAACACTAGAACTAATAGTTAACGTCAAAGTTGTTGGTTTTGTTGTAATAATTATTTTTCACATTAATTTTCCTTTTTTATTTTAAGAATCTTCAGCTAACCGTGGAAGTTAGTCTAAATTTCCTAGACTAAGATATTCTCAACCCGAAACCCTAGCATAATTTAAATTTTTGGTCGCGCATTTACTTACTTTTATCTATTTCAATTTTGGAATCGACACATTTTTTTTCGAAGTCAAAATTGCACTCGTCTGTGATTTCGTAGTGTACAATTTAAATTTTGCACTACCGGTCGTTTAAGTAAGGAAATAAATTTCATTCCAAATTTTATTATACACCGATGCTCAGTTAAGTGAAGACCCAAATTATTTCTTATTTTATACGAATGTCATGAATTTTTCTAAGCCGATGTATTCAATCATATTACAAAAATTATGTAATTATACTCCTATTCTAAAATACCCCTATTCTAAAACAAGTATATAATATATGGTATATATATATACCTTTTTATATATATACGGTCTGACTTATATTATCGGTTAATTTACTCATAGTTTTCAATAACAAAATATTACAAAAACTTTTTTAAAAATTCGTTGAATATGTAGGTTGAGTTCCCCATACCTACGAACAAAACAAAATCCGTTTTCATCACTAAATAACTTTTGTCAGAATCAAATTTTAAAATTTTTGTTACTATACTCGTACTCTGATAGATAATTAAATTTCGTTCAAATTGATTCAAGATATAAATTGTAAAATTAAAAAATTATTAAGTAAAATGTAAAATATAACATTTGTCAACAAGTACATGCATATGTGTTTAACATTTTTTTATGTTTTGTATGAGGCGAATTTAATTGGCATCTCGACCATACAGGTCTTTTGTGCATTCCCACGCTAGATCATTAGAACTCAACTTTCAGACTCCCGATAAATTTTAACAGGCCCGTCATGTATAACGATTCATGAAAATCCAACTTCAAGACCCCGAGAAATCTGTATCTATATAACATTTTATTATGATTTATGCTTAATCGTGTTTAGTTTATTAAGAAAGGTATAACAAGTAACATGTAAATGGGAATCACAAAGTTCAGCAACCTTCATCTTAAGTTTTTTATTTTGTATAAAATTATATGTAAAATATAGGTCTATAAGTATATAAAAGACATATCATGTCTATATAGGAACGATTTGGGGTAAAATTTAGTTATAATTTTAAAACAAATACTGTCGAAACAAAATGTCCTTGCTTAAAATGTAAAAAACTTTTGAAAACTCAGTTCTTCAAAAACTACTAAAAACATTTATATTTTTAAGGCGATAAATTGATTGCGGTTTTAAAATATTTTAAGACGAACTTCGTCTAATAACAGCCAAATAATGTTTTCGGAAGTGAAAATATTTTCTAAAGCTGTACAGAATTTAAAGATATTTAATTATATATTTTCTGGCATATTACTATTTACCACAGGAAAAGCTAGATACCATAGATACGGGAATTCACCCTCTCACCCTACATCACGTCATATACATAGATAGATATAAATTTGATTATCTATGTATGAAAATTAAATTTTATGAAAAATAACGCAATTTTAAAACTTAAATGAAATAAATTTTATTTTATTGAAAATTAATAAATTTTTTAAATTTACTATTTAATTTTTTTTTAAATTTAAATATTTTGTGAACTAAATAGTAAACCGATAATATTGAATTATTTATAGAAATTGGTTATAGAAATTGGTACATATACAAAAAAATATTGATAATTCTAGTGTAATAAAGCCTTTTTTTTTTGTTCCACTTTATTGAATTATTCTCTAAACTACAAGCATTCTATTTTATTCTATAAAATTAACTTTAATAAATTTTTAAAATATATACGGGTATTCCAAAAATTTTGTTAAAATTTTGACAATATTTCAAATACACACCATATTATAAAATACAACAACTTCAAATTGGTGGTGACACGGTATTCCAACGCAATCCTGTAATTATAGCTTTATAAACTGAATTGTGTATTAATAATCTATTACTGCCATTTTGAAATCGCGCATATACATATGTATGTACATTGTTAAACATTATATATTTTGTTTTAATAATATATAAATTTGAAATATTTAATTGTCGAAAATTTAAAAAACATTTATATGAAATCTTATACTTCTACTTTTAATTTTACTATAAAAATTATTGCCGCATTATTTGGTGTAATTTAAAGAAAGAACAATATCGCTACTTATTAAGGAAAAAAAAAATAATTTTTAAATTAATTGTCATGTAAAATATGTAAGTATGTACATATTATATTTTTTATATTACTTACGAAAATCTAAACGCTGCCATAAAAATAAATATTTCAAATAAAAACATAAAAGAAATTTGTAGACAAAATTTTGTTCTGTATAAAAAAAAAGATAAGTAAATAAAATTATTACTGTATATTGTATAAAAAAAAATGTATATATATAAATAAATAAAAAAAAACTATTTAAATAAAAAACAAAGTTTTTTAATTTTTGGAAAATTTAACAATTAAAATTATATTATTTTTTTATACTTATAATGCCCAATTGTATATTATTTCTAATTCATTTTAACTAGATTGAGAATTGTTTACTTCACCATTTTCAGCTTATAAGATTAGAATTTTGAAATATTTATGCATATTAGTACAATTAGAATCTAAAAATTAAGGACGTGGTTCAAACAGAATCCCAAATTAAGTTGAAAAAATTGCAATTTTAATCGTAAAACTTAACATTTACTCAACTTAAGTTAAGTTAAACTTAAAACATGGTTTAAAATTTTTACTATAAATAATATAGGGCTTTTTAGGAAGACCTTCGATCTCAGATTTTAAAAATTTTGAAATAATTTGGGAAAAATTCCAAAATACTGCTTTACTACAAATATTCGCTGCAAATATGTAGACTGCAAGACACTTCATTTCCCAAAATATTATAAAGTACAATTAATTGTACTTAATACGGATTTGGTAGATTTTTTCTATTAAATGCAAAATATTTTAAATTTTTTTTTATATTGGATAGAAAATTTTCATAACATACCCCAGATAAATTTAAATCATTCGGAAACCTAATAAATTTCTTATTTTTACAATGAATACAAAGTTTTTTCTCAATCCAATACCTTTGCGGAAAAGTTGTGATTTGAAATGTTTAGTAAAATGAAGATAAACATAATTGAAAAAAAAAACTTTTTATTACTGAAAATTGCCAGAAGTAGTATTAAATCATATGAACCCTTAATTAGAAGATTTACAATTTCGTTATTTCCTTTTGGAATTATTGATTAATATGGACTTCCAATAATAAGAGTCATTTTTACTTAATCATCATATTAAATGGTAGATGACCACAGGAAATATCGTTATTGCTATTCCAAATTATTATAGAATTTGAATTAAGTATATAAACACGTATTAAGGTTCATGTGGCTTGTACTCTAACAACATTCAAATTTATTAATTAAATTCAAATTCAAAGACTATTATTTCCGATTTAAAACACAAACATAAGTACATATCATGTATTTCTATATTCAAAATCCATATCCATCAAAATTCTAAAAAAATAACACTCGGACACATTAGAGAAATTTGGTAAGTAAGTTTTATATAAAGTAAAACAAAAGTAAATCTTATGGTTAGAAATATTTAGTCTTAATGAATAAATTCGGCTTTATTTAGGAAAAAATAATTTTAAATTCTACTTATTTTATTACAGATACATTTACACATGGTCTTTTTTTTACCGGAAAGAAAATTTGCTTAATCGATTTAAAGGGTATACGGGAAATTTGCACAAATTTTCCGTACATGCACTTTAATTTTCCCACACGATTTTCAAAACTAACTAATTTTTATTCATTTACCATTTTATCTTTTAGCATTTACATGCATTTATCTAAAATGTCATTGTATCTATAAATACCAATTTTTCTTTTCTATTTTAATTTTGTTTTTGCTGTCTTTTTAATAATTTTAACTGCCTACAGAATAAAGAGAAACTAACTATTTTCTAACAACTCTTTCGAGTCAATTTCAACATAAATTTCAAGTAATGTGAGTTCCAAACAATTTACATACGTATACATATATTATGTTTCAAAATATGAAATTAACAACGTGAAGCATATAGTTATATTATATAATGGTAAGTAGAACCAAATTTTATATTTAAGTCATTTTGAGTCCATATCCATGCAGTTTATTTAAAAATTTATATTATTCTTAATATGATCTATAAAAAATATCCTTGTTTACAAAATTAAATAACCTTATTTTTTTACTACTTTAAAAATTCAACTGTCAAAATTAAAAAAAAAATAAAAATCTATCAACACTTAAAAGACAAAAGGTGAATGAATGAAGCCTATATCATAATTCTAGGTATATTTTTAATTGAATATTTGTTTCTAAAAACAAAACACAATTTTTAAGTATATATAGGCAAATTTCAATGAGTATCCTTTATTTTCATATTGTCTCATGTCTCTCGTATACGGTGAATTCCATTTAGAGGAAATTTAATAAATCACCCAAGATGAATTTCCATTATGTTGTTGTCCTATTGAGAATTTAGAAAAAAAAAAACAAATAAGTAATAAGTATAACAAACCAATAAGAATGAGTAAATAGAGCAAATTTGAAAAGGATATGTTAACACATATGTAGATATGTATATACACATATATGCAATTACAGTTAAAATGTATACCTGCATACAAATTAATGTAAAAATATAGAAATATAATGGAAAATATTGATGACATTTTAAGATATAAAAATCAGTGAAATTTTCAATTTATTATCAGTTACAGTTTAGATTTCTTCTAAATAACCACACATTTAAAACTATTATATAAAAAAAATATAAAATTATTTAAAATTACATCATTTTGATTAATTCACATTTTAAAATATTAATTAAAAAGTATAAAAAGTACGGATCCATTTCCGATATAAAAGTAAGACTAATATATTACACAGTGTATTATAAAATTTTATTTTATCCTTATATAATAAATATACATATATATATAGTGTATAGAAATACATTATATCGCAGTAATACAGATATATATATATGTAACGATGACCGCCTATTTAAAACAACATTTTTATAATTTAATTATGCAGTTTTCCTGTTTCTTTTATTTTTTTATGAATGAATTTGGGATAAAAATAACTTTACAAAAGTCTATTTTTAGAAAATATCAATTCATAAAATAAGCTTTCATTTTATATTCATACAAGTATAATGTAAATATATGCATATATAAATGCATTAATGCACATACATGTGCTTACTTAATAGTCAATTTTTAATTTTTAACAGTTTTTATTAATCCATTAAATTATAAAGTCTGAAAGAGTGTTATTTTACAAGGTGAGAGTGAAAAATTTAAGTGACTTTAACTTTCGCATATACCTATACTTGCGATATGTTTTCAGTTTATTTTTAATTTAGTTTAAACAATTTTCAAAGCACAATCACCCCCAGACAAAAGCGTCACATAATTTTTCAAATTTTTAAAGCAATTAAATAGGAAATGTACGATTGACGCAGTAAAACGAAAAAAATTAAAAACGATTTTATTTTACTAAATATCGATTATAATTTTGTAATTTTTTATAATTCTGTTGATTATATAGAGATTGAATATTTAAACATCCTACTTAATTCTGTTTTTGATCACTCTCAGCCTTAATTTTTAGCCTTAATTCTTTCTATCAAATCAAAAAAAAAAAAAAACCATTTGCAAGGGTGTAAACTCTAATTTAGTTCTCAATTAGCTGTTAAATTTAAGAGTCAAAATAAAAATACGTTTAATCGAAATGAAATCAATCGTAATATAAAAAGTTAAAATATTTTAAATTAAAAGTTAAAGTTAAGAGACATTTATGTCTTTCGGCTAGAATAAAGAAAAATAATTCACAATTCAAAAATTTAATATTTTCAGTTTAATTAACCAGAAAAAATTAGATATATTTCTGATTTGCACTACTTTACTGAAATTTTAACGCAATAAAATGAAAAACGTAATTATCCGGGACACATTTAAATAAAAACCTTAAATTAATTTAAAATATACGTAACAATTTTCTGTTTGTAAACGGAAAATGCATTAAATTAAGCATAGTGCATATAAATACATGCATATAAATACATATATTTATTAATATGTTTTTAATCTTGTCATCTATATTAACACTGTTAATCATCTTATATTAACAAAGTGAACAAATTTGATCTACTAGTTGGCATCATAAAAATTTTGTTACTAACTATATAATATTGAAAATTAGAAAGTACCGGCAACCCTAAATTATTTCGCCTTAATTTTTCATAACATTTATTAAATTAATGTGCTAATCATTTTGCGAATCATTTTCTTTCTTTCATTAAAAATGAATGATAACTTGTTTAATTTGTTGAAAAATCATATTTTGTACAGAAAATCTATTCATATAACCCTCGTATCTTGAAAATATTTCCCTAAATATACGGATATATTCAAAAACAGAAAACAAAATTAATTTTACTTAATGATTCATTGATTTTTAATGATTATTTTATTAAAGTGGTTGGTACTTTTAACGTAATTGTCGAAAGCTCAGCTTAAATTTTATAACGAAATATTCTGACAGACATATTATTCATATGTATGCATAAAGCGCATTGTAGGCAAGATTTAATTATTGTACTTTGCAAAATCACATTTCCAATTCTTATTCTACCAAATATACTAACTAATCAACTTTTTATCTCAAATATTGTACAAGCGAATTAAATTACTGATTTATAAATTATGTATACCTGTATATAGGTGTTTAAAAAATTTCGAACAGCATAATTATTTTTTATACCCGAACGAACGAATATTCCAAGGGTATTATAAAATTACCAATTCGTTTGCAATTATAAGAAATTGACGGCTGTGATTCAGACTTTTCTGTCCATCCCATCGATATATAAAAAAACAAAGAAACACGACTAACAAAATTTACACAATTTTGCTTATATTAGCTACTGCAGGAAACCTATTTTATTTGGATCGAACTTCATACCATTCCCAAAATAATTTAGTATATACATTAATATATAATATGTAAAAGTTACAAAGTTACACAATTTTAATAAACGAGTTTGGTAATATGGTGAATAATTTTGTAAAATTATACTGTACAAGTTCTTACAATAGCTGCCATACTCAAAAAATAATTTGGCCATATTTTGGAAACTGTAAAGACTAAATTATTCAAATTTTGCATGAAAACATTCGACCTATATAACTATCCTGACAAAATTTAATTGTCAGAAATCAACAGACAATTTCTCGGAAACTTAGTGTACGTTATTTAAAATTTATCAATTCAAGCAATTTTAAAAATTTTAAAAAAACTTACCATGCTTAAATTTCTGTAGAACAAGTTTAGTAATAGGACCAACATTTTATTAAAATGTTAACCGGAGCTATAAAAGAATTGTCCGGCTGAAAAAACATAAAGAGTTCACACGATCAATACTACTTTTTCTCAAAATTACTTTATAAAGTACAAATTTTTAATATTAAATAAAAATTTCTTTATCCACAAGAAATGAGAATACTTTTTATAAATATATACATATATACTCTTTTAGTTTGAAACAATGTTGTTATTATATTTTGTACACTGTGCTTCTTATAGATCTTAATTGTTTCGATTACGCGAATGAAAGATAGTTGCTATTATTTAAGCGATTTATGTTATATATGCAAAAGTATTAACTGTAACTAAACACATTTTTCAAATTAATTTTAAGAACACATATTTTAGAATATAAAGCACCTTATTTCATAATAATGATATAATTGACCATTAACACAATTTAGAATAAATTTTAGAATTCTTAAGACGTATCTTTTGTTAAGAGAGATTTAACAAGAGTAAAACTTGATTGGTATAAAACGATTATAAATGTTTAATTAATATACATATTTGAAAAATTAAAAAAACACAAACAATTTTTTTTTGTTCTTGTTGTTTTCTAAGTTTGAAAAATTTTAATTGTATTTGCACACAAAGAGTAGAATTTCGGTTGTTTGATGCGCGAAAAATTAATTTAATTCGATTTTTTTTTCTCATTTTACTTTTTTTTTAGATTAATACGCAAGCAATAAAAATAAGAAAAAAAAACTTGTTACCGGTACATAAGCAATCCGCTTTGAATTAAAAGCTATACTGTAAGAGTTCGCCTTTAATTTTATATTACCTATAATGTTAACCTTTAAGAAAATCATTCATTCATATTTACGTTTTTGTAAAAACATCTGAATCCGCTTTAATATTATATGTTGTTTATATATATATTTGTTTGTTTATAGGTATTATATGAATTTTATATTCAAAATATTTTATTAATTTTATTTTATTATTTTTAATCTTTTGTTATTTTTTTGTTTGTTTTTTTTAATAATATTATATATAAAGAAAAATATTTAATTTAAGAGTACTCTTTATAAACAAAAGTTTGATGAGTTCGTACTAATTTTTTTATAAATTGCTCTTCATGTATACATACATATATAATTGATTTATACTATAAAAGTAAAATTATTTGAAAAATACAATTAAATAATATAAAAATATTTGAAAACAATATTATTTAATATACAATATATAAAAGAATATATTACAAGTATATTTAAGATACATAAAAAAAGTAAATATAAAATTTTGGTTTATTTCAATGTTTTTAAAAATTAAATAAAATATTCTACTAATTGAGATTTCTCACCTAATAAACAATTGCATAAGAACAAAAAAAAAAAATATTAATAAAATTATGAAAATTACACAAAAAAATTCATTAAAGTGGCTCCATCTGGTGGCCATTTATAACAAAAACAAATTGTTATCCTTAGCTTTTCTAAGGAAAATAAAATAAAATATGGATTTTCACAGATTAGTGCAAAAGGTCGTGTATCGATGGATTGATATATTAGAGCAAAGCTTTGCTACAACAACAATTTATATGAAATTTTATTCACTAGTACATATGTACAACGTGTCCCATAAAAAATGTAGTGTATAATATTATTGTTCCTTGAGCAAAATTTTAAAAATGACATTTTAAAAAAAAGTTTTATTTTGTTTTAAAAAATTAGTTCCAATTCCTTTTTGTCGTGTATTCTTTTATTAAATGTCAATTTATGAATCAAAAAATAAGTTTTTCTTAAAAACTTATTTCCAAAAACATTTGTTAATTTTGTATATTTTTACATCGAAAATTGTCTCCGATCGTTCTTATTTTTAATTTGAACTTAATTTGGAAATTGGAGGAAAATTATTTTATTTCTTCCTTTTTTTGTACAAATCCGTCATGAGTTTAAAAACTCCTAATATGTTAGAAGAAATTCATCGAAATAAAGCAAATTTTTTAAAAGTTAAAATTTGTCAGAATGTATACATATGTACATATTATATTATTAGAATTATTAATCAAAGTGAATTTAATAAAAAATTTTGTTTCAACATACCTACACACATATAAAATAATAATTTAGACGCCCAATTTAAGTATGTACAACCACAATTGAGGCTTGACTGAGGCAATATTCAATGCAATATGATTTCTCATATAATTCATATTCATATTGCCAATAATTAAAAAAGAGATTTTTTGACTAAATTAATTTAATTTTTAATAAAATTAATAATTATTATTTAATATTAACTCGCAAACTACTTAATATATCTAACCAATAACAACAATATTTTAAAAAATTTGAAAAGATTTGATAAGAGTAAAATAAAAAAAATTCTAATAACAAAATGTTCACATAATTTTAATATATTCTAGAATTCAAATACAATTGTAATTGAATTAAAAAAAAATTTAAAAAAGCAGATATATTTAATAAACAAAGATATAGTTTTATTTTTAAAATTATTTAACTAATAATTTACCACTTTTTCTTTATAATTTTCAGAAAGAGAAAATTTTTTCTAACCTAAAAACAAACTTATCCAAAATGGCATCTTCAAAATTTTTCTTAGTTTTCTTAGTTACTTTAATATTTTTTATTAATGTCGAAGAAAGTTTTAGTATTCCATTAATTGGTGGATTACACAAACGATTTGGTATGTCATAATTTTAACATTTGAATAAATTATAGTAAATAAATAAATTACAAAAAAATTTTTTTCTTTTCTTTAAACAGATTCCATTACAAGCGTTGATTTTATCCAAATATGTTTAAATAATTGTGCACAATGTAAAAAAATGTTTGGTGATTATTTTCAAGGACAAACTTGCGCTGAATCATGTTTAAAATTCAAAGGAAAATCTATACCAGATTGTGAAGATATCGGCTCAATTGCACCATTTTTAAATACTTTTGAATAAAATAACGAAAAAGATAATATAATAATCAAGAGCTATGAAAAAATGAATTATATAAAATAACCTTAATCAACCCACCAATTATTTTCAATAAATTAATATATAAAATATATACCTATGTACATATATGCACATACCTACTTATTATTATTACAATTTTGTTATGCACATGAACCTGACTCTCAGATATGTGCCTAAGAACATTTTGAATGAAATGTTTTAAATGAAAAGATTAAAAAATTCACAATGTTATTTATTAATATAAAAAATTGTTAAAATAAGTAATTATATTATTGGTTTTGAAATTTATATATTAATTTATGTTCTAGGCCTATGTTATAAACAAAGCCTATGTTTTACCGTATAGCCAAATTTATTCCGGAATTATGTACATATGTATTTTAGCATTTTTCATCTTAAGAATTAAAAATTTTATTTACTGTGATTTTTTTTAAATATCATTTTTTGATTATGCAAAAACATGTCATTTGCGGAATTATGCAATGATTCAAGCTCTTTATTTATTACAGATTCTATAATTATAATTTATACTTTAGTTCATTAAATTTAAATATTACTAAATATTTTATTTTATTATAATATATAAACATATATATATATAGATGTATATTTATACATACAGATAAATATATGTTTCTTATGTAACTTTAAATTAATTTAAGATCAAAACAAATTTAATTCAGCAATTTTTTTTTATTTGAAAATATTTATGTTGTAGGTATGAATGTATTATAGATAGTAATTTAATACTTTAATTATTGAAATAAATCATTAATATAAATATAAATTAGAATTTCTAAAACAATATCTTTAATTTTTATTTTCTTTATATTAAATCCTAAGGCTTGTGTTGGTTTTATTGGACTATAAATTACTCCACTCAAGAGTTTTTAACACTGTGATTGACTGTAACTTTTTTACTCAACATCTTTCGAATGGCCTTCGATCAGCAAGAAGTAAAAAATTACAAACTATTTGATTGTTCAATTGATCTTTCAGTTGCATGTAACGAACTTGAATATAAGTTATGGAATACAATTATTTACAAATAAGTAATCAAACACTTGAAAATAGTCTAGTCGTACATTAGTTAACACCAAAGAAACTTGCTACACATATGTAAGTTCTGTCTGTTATAAGAAAGTTTTTAAAAACTTTATATGTATAACTTGCAAAAAACTTTAGAAAGAGAAACAATGACGTAATTTCCAAAAAGAATAAAATTCTCATTTAAAAAAAAATAAACGAAACGGAAGAGTTTAAAAGAACTTTTAAAAACTTTATAAAATACTTAATAAACATCAAATTCCAAAATATTTAATAAAGAAGAATATATATTTTTGACAGTTTAAAGTTTTTAAAATACTAAATTTTACTTTACAAAACCAGAACAAACTTTAACCATTGAGAAAATGAAAACCTCATCACTTTCCCTAATTTTTGTTCAGAAAGTATTATCCAAGACGCTTTGTATGCAAAAGCCTTATAAAGTTTTTAAAAACTTTCTTATACCAGACAGTCGTCGTATAAATATTGAGACTTACACTGACAAATTTAAGTCCATTAACGTGAACACAATAATTCATACAAAAGATTTGTTACCGCAACACATTTTTTTTTTGCTTTTTTTAGTAATTATCGCCGAAAAGTCAAGAAATACTTAAAAATCTGCAAACGTTTAAAGATATCTCCGAATTAACATTAGTTGATCTGCAAATTAAATGGATCAAACACGTTTCCACTCTTCCATACATTTTTATATTTCTTACATATTTTTTCACAAATTAAAACTTTAGAACCATTTTCGACTCATAATTTCAGAACCATTTTCGACTCATGTTTGCAGTTTAATGTCGTTTAATTTGCGAAAAGTTGATTAAAATGGTTTTCTTTGCAGATCTTTTCCATTATTTGTAGAAATATAAATAGATCACGTTCACTTAGGTAAGTAAATGGAAAGAAAGAAAGTCGCAATGCATAAAAAAATTAAGTACAACAAAAAAAAGTGTTGCCTTCCAAAGAAATTTTCAAAAGTTACCTGACTCATCATTTACATCATTATAGTCAAGTATAGCTTGAAAGTGAAAACACTCGATCAGGCTTAAACAAAAGAAAATTTTTGCATTTTCAAGTCTTTCAAAAACCCTACCTAAAAAGTGACACATTTGATTTCTGACATTTAATAAACCGCAAAGCAGCAATATAAAACTTTTTGTAGTTGTCAAAATATGATAATTTCTACCATTTCATTATCTATACATAATGTTACCGTATTAAACGTAGATATTTATTAATTGATAACGTAATGTTAACGTGATTGTGTAGGTAAGTCTAATAAATATAAACATGGACTTGTTCTATGATATATGTGTATGGTGCGATAACTGATAAGATAATATATTTTATTCATTTCAGCCTTCAATCCCTCCATATATGTTTAAAAGTAGGTAGGTACCTACCTACATACATGATAGTTTTTTAATTTATTTACAAAAAGTATTCTGCTTGCATTTCAAAATAAAAAATATTGCATTTACTTAGAAACGAATTACATACGTGGTGACATTCAGTTGCATTGTATTTTTGAAAAATGGAATTAATCGGAAGCGTAAAAACTTCAGAATGGGGTAAAATTGGAAATGATTCAGAAGTTTGCAGAATAGCTCAGCTGAATTATGAAAATTTTCAAGTCAACGCTTCTACTCCATACGCCGAATTCTGGATGGGAGATCATGAGAACGGACCTTCTTTGATTAAATCTTCAAAAGAAACACTGTCATCGTTTTTAGACAAGTCTTCGAAAAATCTAATAGGGGGGCATCAAAAATTGTCGTTTCTTTTGAAAATTCTAAGTGTTAGCAAAGCGCTTAGTATTCAAGTACATCCAAATAAAGAGGAAGCTAAGAGATTGCATGAAGAAAGACCAGATATTTATAAAGATCCAAATCATAAACCTGAACTGGCTATTGCTTTAACACCATTTATTGCTTTGTGTGGATTTAGACCGTATAATGAAATACAAGGGTTTCTTGATAAAATATTGCCTCTCAGCAATCTTATTGGAAATCAAAACGTCCAAAAACTAAACGAAGGTGAAAGTGGGTTAAAGGCTTGTTATACTCAATTAATGACAGCGTCCAGTGATAAAATTTCCGAGTGTATCGAGGCAATATCTAAAAATTATAATGAAAGTAAGTACAAGGTTTTAAATGTTTATAAAATTAATATGTATGTATTTAGTATGTCTCAAAACTTTTTTTGTTTTAGCTCTGGCTGAGTACAAACTTTATAAAATTTTTAATAAAATGAATCGGGAATTTCCAAAAGATGTTGGCATCCTGAGCTTGTTTTTTTTAAATGTTATTCGACTTAAACCTGGTGAATCAATTTTTTTGCCAGCCAACTTACCACACGCATACCTAGAAGGAGATTGCATTGAATGCATGTCTTGTTCAGACAATGTCATCCGTGCAGGTCTTACACCAAAATTCAAAGATGTTCCAACTCTCTTAGGAATGCTAAATTATAAAGGAGAACCTGCAGAGGAAAAACTTTTTAAACCAGATCAAAGAGATGAACACGTTCAAATATTTGCTCCGAAAATCGAAGACTTTGCAGTTGTTAAATTTCATTTTACATCAGATATCAAGGAATATAAATGGAAAAACATCGAATATGGATCAATTTTGCTAGTTTTAGAAGGTGAAAGAATTCTGAGGACAGAAACTTTAGGAGATATAAAATTATATCGTGGTTCGGTTATATTTATTCCTGGAAATTGTGGTAATTTTATTAATTTCGTAAAATCTGACAATTACCAAGGCAATTTCACTTCGTATTTGGCGTCTTACAATAATTTTTAAAATCGTGATTCTTTAAGTAGATTAAGCCATTCCGTCTTTTTACGCATTTATTTTTTATAATAGATCAATCAAAACATATTACAATATTTTGTTAAAAAAAATAAATTTTTTTGATTTTTAAAACGTTATATGCACATAAACATAAATGTAAAACTTCTTATGGTCTCGATGCCAACAAAATTGGAGTTACTTCAATTTCTGCTACCGTTTTTGCAATTGCTTTTTCTGTTTCGTTTTTAGCTCCTTCATTTAATATTGTTTGCACATTTCCTTTGCTTTTTTCTAATGTAGAAATATTATCACTTTTCTCTGAGGTAGACTTCAAAATAGTTTTAGCATATTCTTTTTCATCGGAAGAATGATTTTGACTTTTTTCATTTGCAGTATTTTCTGCTTTGAAATTTTCACTTTTACTTTTTATATCTTCGTCAAATGCTTGAGGATTTAATTTTACGGTTAAAATTGATAACTGTGTCTCAGGATTTTTTTGCGAGTTGTGTTCAACTTGTCTTTCACTTCTTAGTTTATTTATTCCCTGAAGTGAACCAGCCGAGTATGCTGTTTTTATAAGAGAGTTTTCAACATTAGATATTAGGTCAACTAAAGGGAACAAAGCTCCATCCAGATCACGCTTTTTAAGAAATGTTTTGCTTTCATTTAATGGGTTTGCAGCTGTGGATTGTATTACTAAAAATATCTAAAATTTGAGTGCAAAATATTATTTTTTAAATACATATGTATAAAACCAATTTATATGAAAATCAACAAGAAGGGATTTAATTTTAAAAAAATTTATATGTATCTACACGAAAATTAAGCAAAGATCCAGTTTTCAAATGTTAAGATCAAAACCACACAGAGTTAAGTTATTACATTTTATATTAAGAAATATAAGGTCTAATATACTTATATTATTTATTTTTGGATGTAGTTTCTCATTATAAAACAATAAAAGGCACTTAAACAACTATATTTTAATATGTAGTTTCACAAAATTCAATTTTTTGTACTCACGCTAAGAATCGCAAAATACATTTTGTTTGTTTTAGCAATTATTATATCTTCAGTTTAATTGTTCACTCATTAAAAGAAAGAAAAATTTCGCGATATATTTCCTTTACAAAAAAAGTATTAAATGAGAAAAATCTTGAAATATTACTACTTTTAAACGCTAAAGGTGTTAATTAGCAAAAAAATATTCTAATTGAAAAAAAATTTAGAAGGGAGAAAAAAATAACTGCGTCACAGAAAAGCTACAATTTGTTTAATTTTTATTAATATTTTCAAAATTTTCTGAGACTTTTTTGTGTCATAAATTTTTCTTCATAACTTTATTTTGTTTTCAAAAATTAATTCAATTAACAGAAAATTTTTTCAAACCAATCATTGCTCTTAATTAAACATGTAAATAATGTATTTGATTAATAGAATCGTACACCTCTGGTTTTAACTGATATTTTCAATATGTATCAAAAATTTCAAATAAGAGTTTAACTACTAATATTACATTATAAAAGCATATATGTAAGTACGTTCAAAGTATACAGTAGAAAAATAATTTAATCTTATATTATATCCCATATTTCATATTACAAAAAGGAATTTCTAGTAAAACAAATTAAACAAAAGTTCTGCACTATTCTGAAAACTACTTAGGTTTTTTCACCAAAATTTTCCGAAGTAATCAGAGTAATGAGATCCTTGGAGCTTTTCTTCGGGATTTTTAAATAAAATAATGTTTTTAATTCTATCTGGATCATCTAATTTGTAGAAATAATAGTTTTCTATCACTAATAATTCGTGGTATAACGATTCCAAATCTGCTTCCAAGTATGATGCAAATGTTTCTAGCAACCATAAAAAATTTCGTGGCATGTGTGTTTTAATATTTTTGAAATCATCCTCTTTAATATCTAACTTTCCATGTAAAATCCAGTATCTCATATCAGAAATTGAAAATTGCAAATATTTATTCAGATTATTTTCTTCGTCATCATTATCTGAAGGTGCACTATTGTCACTAACATCAGATAAAATACTATTTTCTGAAGATACAACACTTCTGTTTAACAAATGATAATATTTAAATGTACGCGGTTCAAATTTTCGATTTTTGTCATTAGATATTGTTTTATTTTTTGTCCCCTTTTGTTTAGAATTTTGTTTGGTTGACATTTTATTTTTAATAGGTCTTAAAAAGTCAGTATCAAATATTTTAACGTAATCTTGATTTACTATAGTTTCATTTTGATTTTTTTCAGTTCCTGATTTATTTTTTATATTTCTTAATGAAATTGAGCTATCCTTCGGTAAATTAGACTTATAACTAAAAGTTTGTACAAAATAAATTTTCTCATTACCTTTTTCTTTAACTATTTTCATTTTTATATTTTCCTGTTTTAAAGTTTGTTTTAGTTTTTTCGGATTAAAAAAGGGCTCAATTTGCGTTAAAGAATGTTGATATTTTAAAAATTCCGGAATTAATATGTCCTCTGGCGGATCATATAAAATTTGTTCAAAATAATCAATTTGAGGAGTAAATGTAATAATTTTAATAGATGAGTGTGGTTGGACACGTCTAGCATCTTTCAAAAACGTGTTAAAAATTTTATTCATATTGAAAACATTTGCTCGATTCAAATTAATCTCTTCTCCGTCACACTCTAAATACTCTTCAACCATTTTATTCAAATTCGCATCCAGATTTTTGAAATCTTTATTACTTTCAAAATAACACAAATTATACCTAGATAATATTAGTTTTCTTATCTCAATATATTTCATCCATTCTTTCCAAACAAAGACTCGTTCTCCTTTATTTGCTTCTTTGAGAATATTATTGACATTTTGAGCTGAATCTGATATTTTTTCTTCTTTCACGTCGTCTAAACCAAATAAAAGTTTCATAACGAAAATTATATAAGCTAAAGCTCGTCCTTCATAAAATGGTGTAGTATCATGTATATATTCCATTTTCGGGGGGAAATATGTGATTAAACGACTAACATATGATACTATTTCATTTGGTAACACAAAATCTTTACAAAATCGCGTAACTAAACTGATGATATCTGGAGTATTTAATTTTGTAATAGATAAGAAATTGCATATTACAGCTGATTGTTTTCGTATTGACATACTAGATTGGTCAAAATTTTTAGGGAAATCATAACGTGATAACTGTATTTCACATGACTTTCTTATGTTTTCAGGAAAAAAATGTGCAAATTTTCTGCTGGAAAGATTTCCTTCTTTCATAAATCGAACTAAATCAAACAATTGAATGATATTATTACTTAAATTAAGAGCTATATACAAAAGACTAAAAGTTGTTCTTCGATTAAATAATTCGTCTCTTCTTTGCTCGTAATATACAGTGCTTTTTTTTATTGGAATGCATTTGCAATCCATTAATTTTTGAAAATCATCCTCATGTTTTTTCAAATGCTCTTTATGAACACTTTTTTTAATTAATTTTCGAGCAGAATCCTTCAGATTTAATTTTATTCCGCGTGAAACTGTTGAGGTAATGGAAGTTTGACTGCTACTCAATAAGGTAACAAGAGAAGTCTCTGCCTCAGAAATACTTTTTTCATATTCAGACTTCGCATAGTTCCTCTAAAAAAACAACCAACTTTGTAAAATAATAAACTGTGTTTTTCTTTCTAGAAAGGATAATCTTACTTTTTGTCTTTTCCAAGTTATTGAGCTATCGATTGAAGAAGCATCATATTTTCTCTTTTTTCGCTTTGGCATATTATGATTGTAAAGAATTTTTGCATCTCTGATAATTTTAAAAAAGTTATATTTTATCCAAATTGTGTCTATATATGTAGGTATGTATGAACTTACTTCGCCTTAAAGGAAGCGCTAAGTTTTGGCAAAGAAGGCACTTTTGTTTTAAAAAAGGCTACTTCATTTTTTCTTAAAAATTCAGCCCATAATTGAAATGTCTTTAGTTTTAATTCGTCTTTGGCTCCTATTACATTTAGCTCCCCGACCAAACCAACTAAAATGTAATTCAGCAACTCCCAACTTGTTAGTTCATCTGAAATTTAAATTTAAAATTTTTCGTTGTTTTTCATAATAACATCTTTATCTGACTTTCCAATCTTTCTCTAGATTTAACCTTTTTTCTATTTGAATGTGGAGTAAAATTGATATATTCATCGTCAATAGCAACTTCATGCACATTTTCTGCTTGTGTACCACATTCCAAACAAAAAAAAAAGCCATCATTATTAATGAATTCCTCTTTACCACATACGTTGCAAGGCTTTTGAGTTTCATCCATTTCTGATTAGTGAGTATATCTTCCTAAGTTCAAACACAATTTTTGTTATTCGAAACTCGCCACAAAATTGTTATCTGCTCCTTTTGTTTAGATACATTTCAATTTTGGTTAAACTAAGTGTCATTATTTCAACCAGTTCAACAGAAATTATTTAAAAAACGAAAGATAGCTGCAGGGATGTCGTTTGCACTCAGAACATGTACTCCGTTTCTCTACTACTCGCTAAAAAGCTTCGAGTTCTAAACTATGGATGCAAAAAGTTCCATTTAATAATCGGCCTTATTCTTCTAGACGCGTCACATTTGTGGCTGTAAAATTTTTTGGTCACGTTTCTTTTTTTTTGGTATTCTGCTAGACGCGAAATATAACGTGACAGAAAAAGCGAGACTCGAATTTTTTTGATGTTAAATGGTTAGAAAATTCTTTTTAAAAACTGGTAGGAAAAAAAAGTATAAATAAAAATAGTAAATTAGAGAAAGAAAGATGTTATTGAACTTTTTTTGGTTTTTGGTAAAATCAAAGTGATGAAGAAAATTAAGAAAATTAATTTTTCATCAACTCGATTGAAATTGCTTTCAATTGATTGCTTTTGCACTGGAATTAATAAAATTACTCAACATTGCTAGTAAAATATCGAATTACACTTATCCCTTTTCCATTTTCTTCCAATTTTTTTTTGCAGCTTTATTTCTGTCGACAAGAAAGAAACGCGGCTAAAAAGAATTTAACCTCATGCAAAAATGTGTTTTACGTGTCAATAATCAAAAGTTTCTTATGTATGTATCAATTTTTCTATGTTACTTCAGAGTTTCTAAACTCTGGTTTGAGAAAAACCTTAACTGAGGTTTTTATATTTCTAATTATTTTACAATAACCATTTTTTTCAAATTAAGCCTATAGGCAAAATATGAACGTGTTATTTCGAACCATATATATTTCTAAATAATCAAAAAAGAAATATTAGTTGCAGGTAATATATATATATGTTTGTAGTGTGTGCTTTTTAAATAGACGTATGATGTGTTAAATATAGGTAGATCATCTTTAAATAATAAATTACAAATAAACACACAATGAATTTAGTATTAGAATTTAAATATCAACTGACTCGACGATTTTAGCTCAAACGGTTGATATGCATCTCATTCTTCTTTTCAACGAAGTTTGTCGGCAAAGGGAGTAAAATCTACCAAAATTAAGTTTGCCAGCAAAGAGAGGTAGACGTCCTCCTATTAAGACGTCCTAAAATTAAGATTTTATGTCAACATTATCTTTTTGAATATGCAGAAGGAAAAACGAGCGAAAGACAAAAGCTACCTTTCTGACCTGAAAAAATAACATAATAATAAACAAGAGTATTATTCATTTTTTTCCAATAATTATATTGAATTTTTTTTCTATATAAAAATTAAATGCACAACGTCAACATTTTTGACAGACCCCGTACAGAGTATACTTGACGTTAAAATTTTGCATTTCGGTAGACAACTTATGACAGATATTGACGCAAAAGTCGTGTAAACACAATATTTGAAAAACGTTTAATTTCTCCTTGCAAACGACCACAAATTTAGTTTATTGTCAAGACAAATAAAACATATGCCATCAATGGACGCAAGAGTCTTTACCTTTTATGTAAACTCATCTACATATTATGTACATTTTTTTACATTTATGAGAAAAAGATGACGACATCATTTTCCCCTCATTTTTCTCAGAAAGTGTTATGCCATGCCACACGGGGTGTACTTTGCATAATAAAACTTATAGTTTTTCTAAGTGCATACCTGTTATAATTTTAAAAAACTTCCATGTACCTATCAGACCGATCAAATTTGTTTTAAACATTTCAAAAATAAAAAATAAATCCAGAATTTGTGTTTCTATTTGCTTGATGCCTTAAAAATACACAAAAATTTGCAACACATACATAACACATAATCATACATAAATAAATGCTTGTTTTAAAAAGTTACAGGTTGTAAAAACAGGCGCAACTCCAGGTTACAAAATTTTGCACATTATAAAATTATGTAAATAAATTTATTATTATTACTATATTTATAATTTAGGTCGAAGAAAGTCTTTATTCCAAGTTTGATATATATCTCTCCAGAATTGTATTCTTTCTTTATCAGGGTCCTGTTTCATTTGTATTTCATTATCGATATTTAAATAATCCAAAGTAAACTTTTCGTTGTTTTTTATATTTTTAACAGGTTTCCATTTGAATTTTAAGGAGTCATCTTCATTTGGAGTCGGATTACTATATTTTGCAAAATTTGTCCAAAGCTTACATATAACTTTTACAATTTTTTTGTCATTTGCTCCTGGATTGAGAGTATCCTCAAGATTTGCCATTTGGAAAAGATAAAATAAATCATCACCATGACAAGCACCTTTTAATTTTTCTAGCTGAAACCACTTCTTAAACATATTTAATCCCCCAACATATGAAAATTTATAGAAGAACAATGGTGACTTACAGTTATACCGTGAATGAATTTCAGCTACAGCTTGGAGTCCTATTGTGAAATGATAATCCGTTAGCAAATCTTTCAATGACTCCAATGATTTTGAATCAATTTTCTGATTGTTGAAATAAAATTTTCTCATTTCTGTGGCTAAAGTCAAGCAATTTGGATCATTTGGTTCTAAATTAACACTTCTAGGAATTAAACTAGCCAAATCAGAATCAATCGTATCCAATTTTTTTATAGCATTAGCTAACATTGTAATACCTTCTGCCGACGTATAGCCCATCATTACTGGTTTATCAATACTATCGTTTCTTTTTAATAAATCAATTGGCCTTTTCGTAATGATAGCTTCACTAGAAGGAATTTCTACAACTGGTTTAAAAGGCATAGGTAAACCACGTCTGCGTTCATCTGGAGTAAGTACTCCTAGTAAATGTTTATAAATGTCGACAGGTTGTTTTGTTTTTATTAAAAACTCTACCAGCTTATCATCCGGCCCTTTAAATCCCATAAGTTCAGCTAATCTTTTCGCCTTGTATTCAGGATTATTCTGAATAACCCATTCGTTTATTGCGCTTCCACTTTGAACTATAGCTTTATCAAAGTATTTTTTTGATATTTCTGAGAGCAGATGTAAATGAATTGCTGCTGCTCCTGCACTTTGTCCAAAGAGAGTAACATTATTTGGATCACCATTAAACTGTTCAATATTTGCTTTAACCCATTTCAAAGCCATTACCTACAAGGAGCATGTTGAAAAAAATAAATATTGATATTAAATAGAAAACTTACTTGATCTTTTAAACCAGCATTTCCCAAAATTCCAGATTTTGGATAACACAAAAAACCAAACATTCCAAGTCTGTAATTCAATGTTACAACTACAACACCTTCATCCATTAAAAATCGAGGATAAAAACTATATTTGGAAAATTTTATATTAAAAAAAATCATAATTTGTATTTTAAAAATTACAAGTCACTGTTGCCACTACCCATAAGAAAAGCCCCTCCATGAATCCAAACCATAACTGGAAGCGGCGTTTCTGATTTTAATTTCGGAGTGTAGACATTCAAAAACAAACAATCTTCCGAACCAACTAAATCACTTGTAAAAGGGTCCTTATGAAATGAAACATCTCTTTCATGCGTGCAATCCAAAACATCTTTGTCAAATTTTAGAAGTGGTTGTGGTGCCTTTAATTTTATTATTGAAGCTAATAACTTTAAACAAATAAAAAAATAGATGAGATTACCTTAAATCGCAAATCACCGATTGGCGATTTAGCATATGGAATCCCCTTAAAACAATAAAATGAATGTCCATTTTGTAATTGTTTTTTTTCACCTATTACACTTCCTTGCTTAACATCTATTTGAATTGTATTACTCTGAAAATACCGGCTGGTCAAAGTTCACTAGGTCAGTTACAAAACTTACCATTTTCCTACATTGCATGTAGCATATAAGAGAACTATTTCTTAAGAATCTACTCATAACTAGCTATAAAACATACAAAGTTTAAAAATTTTTTATCATAATAATCATAATATTTATAAGTAAAAAAATTAATTATTATCAAATAATTCACGACAAAGCTTTATAAAATAATAAAATTATGTATGTATTACAAATGTATGTACGTATGTACATATTTTTAATTTTTGACACAATATACTAGCATAGAAGGAAAGCTGTCAGATATAAGTATCAAATCTTTTTACATAGCAAAATATTTTTTTTGATGTATTCTGAAACGTAGTACGTATCTTTTTTGCGATATCTTGCGCTTTCTTGACATAGCCAATTTCAGGTATAAATGATTTGTTTATATTATTATTATTACATTATAATATAAATATAAAAGGATTTATTGCTAGTTGAATACGCTTAATTGCAACACGCATAAACAGAAACTGATTAATGCGAATAGCAAAATTCCAAAAGTATTTCTACAATTTCTTACAAACTTAAGAAACAACTTTTGTGGGTTAAGCAACTACATTTGAATTTCAATTCCTTTCTTTATCTACATACAAATATATGTATCCAGGTACATACATATGTACATGATTTCAACACTAATGGATTCCAAAAATTTTCAAATATGTACATAAACATACATATGTATATTAAAAAAAAAGAACTAGTTTTTAAAAGTTTTATTTTGTAGGTACTTTCATTATTACATAGAAAATCCTAAAAATAACTTTAGAATTACAAAAAACCTTATTTTTTATATTTGAATATCTAAACTTTTGCCTTTTTAATTTTTGTTACATCTTGTTGCTTTTCCAATCCTTTTCGCTTATTATTTGGAACATTCAACTCCAAATCGCTTTTATTTGTTAAGGGTTTTAAGTTGTAATTTGAACAAAATTTCATGTAATTATGAGAAGACTCTAAATTAATTGTTTTCCTAAGAGTTTGTACATTTTCACACAAATTATTTATGTTGAATCCAATTTCTGAATGGTTTTTTTCGTGGCAGTTAGTGATAATCAAAATACAATTTATTAATTTATTAAATTCTTTTGAAGACAAGTTTTTATCAAGGAAATATTCCAAATAAGCTTCAAATTTTGTTTCAATTTTCTTAAAATATTTATCTTTTGATTCATTATTTACCTTCCATATTTTATTATTTTTATACAATAATTCTAAAAAATCTAAAATTTGAATTCTTTTGTACGACTTCACCACGGGATCTAATGATATATCAATTAAGGTAATTGCCAGTTTACATACACGAAACCAATTTCCTTGAAATAAATACTTAAGAAAATCAGTATTAAGTTTGGCATTTTTTGATTTTAAAAAGTCTTCTACACAACTTTGCAGTTCCGATATAACTTTTTTATCAAAATTTTCTTCTTTCAGTATCTTGTTTAGATTTATAACAAACAATACACATTTACAGTGAATAGCGGATTGCTCTTTTTCAACAGCTTTAAATTTTGTATGCAATATTTTAGTAAAGTAATTAAAAAGATTGTCTACTTCTTCAACCGTAGAAAATTGCTTTAAACTCGTGATTTTATGTAAAATATTTTGAACCTTTTGATAAAAGGGTGCAAATTCCGCATTTGTATAGTGCTTAAAAGTATTCAACAAAGAAATTATAATTTCTAGTACAATCAACAAAGCTGGTTTGTTTTGAATATACATGTCTATCAAATCTAGAACGCGAATGCGAAAGTGCATTAATGCTGTAGATTCTGTGCGATAATCTTTAGAACGTCGGCTTTTTATGTTATTTTTTTTCATTTTGAATACTTCAGTTAGTATTTCGTCCAGCTTAGCACCTTCTGTTTCACTCATTTCATCTAAATCAATTGAATCAGCGTCATTGTCTAAATTGTTTTTAATTAATGCTTGGGATATTGCGCTTTTAAGTTTTTCTGCTTCTGTTGGTTCTTCGGAAAAATTTTCTTCGAAATTACTGTTTTCACTATCGCTACTATCCTCACTGCTATTAGCAGCATTTTCGTTATCACTATTTTCACTTGATGTGCCATCGTAAGGATTGTTTTCTTTTTCAATCGCTGAAGAATCATCATCGTCTTGGTTTGCTAGCGAATTTAGCTCGTTTTTCATAATGAGCATTTCAAGAATTTGATTCATAGACGAAAGGGTTATAGATTCACACAAATGAGGAAACACAATTCTTATAATATTGCGTAAAGAGTTTGAGTTTTGCGATAAGAGATGCAGAATTAGGTCTACAACTACTTCAATCCAGTCGGGTTCTTCATAATTTGACAAGTTTTCTTCTATTTTTTGCTTTTTCTGTGTTTTTTCCTTTGATTTCTTTAAACATATTTTTAAATCAACTATTGCCGTTTCTGCCATTTCCGATTCTTTAAAAAGCTGTAATCCCATATGCATTAACAAAATATTAAACACATAATCTAATTTACCATCTCTTTTCGTTGATTTAGATGATTTTAATTTTTGAATTTCCCCAAACATTTCGTTCCAAATATTTATTAGGTTTTCTTTAACGTTAAATCTGAAAAACTTGTCATAATTTTTTTTATTTAAAACTTCATTGCAAGTTTGAACCAAATAGTACAATAATTTGTTTTCATTCTCAAGAGATGAAAATTTATTTTGTAAACTGCAGAAAAAAATTTTTTTCATTTGGTCAGCTAATTGTTTACTTATTATGTCGTTATTTTTTGAACTTTCTATTATATTTTGTGTATCGTCCGCATGGAAAAATCCCAAAACCATAATTGACCTCATTTCTTGTTGTCTCCATTTGTAAGAAGATTGCATAACTTTATGGTTTAATAAATACTGCATCATATTGCCTGCATGAATTCTTTCCACATTGGACCAGTTACCGCTTTTATCAATTTCATCGTTTAAATATTTGTTTAAGAAAACTTGTTTATATATATTATATAAATCAATGAAAGAACTTTCATCACATTTCGAAATAATTTGGTGAATTATTCTTTGACTAGTGAATTTTTCTACGTTCAACATGCCTGGATACAAAATTATTTTTTTAATTATATTCAATTTCTCCATGTTAGTCGTTTCGCTTTTACTACAATAAGTGGATAATGCATCAGCAAAATTATTGTAAATTTGTTGAACTTTCTCCTCCTTTTTTGATTTAAGTCCATTCAAGAATAATTCAAGAAATTTGCCTGATAACATATAGGATAATTCGTTAGTTGATTTTCCAAAAATAATGGTGGCAATTTTCAAAATACAACTTTCGATGCTTTTTGTTGAGTTGTTCAAATGTGACTCAATAGATTGTTGCCACAGAAGCTTTAGAAAGTTACAATTGGCTAAAAAATTACAAACAACATCAAGTATAGGCAGCATTTCGCAATTTTGTATTCTATTATTTAAGAGACTGCTGGTTATGTCATCAAAGTTATTTTGGGTTGCTAATTTTTCAATAGCCGTCCTCAGTTCAGAAACAATATCTAAATTGGGATATTGTTTAACAATTTCAATCATTAAAAACATAAGACCAATGTTAAATTTTTCACATTGGTCAATTTCTTTTTTTATCGTAGGATAACCATATTTAATAAATTGCTCTTCCGATAAAACTTTGACTAACTCTACACAAAATATGTACGCTAGAGCTTCATGATAAGATTTACATTTAGAAAAACTAAACAACGCCATCGTTAGATCGCGTATATTGTCGCCACTTAGTATAACATGTTTTTTAGATCTTAATAAAGCGCCGCAAATTAATATCATTCCCGTAACAGCGTCGCTATCTTCTTTACTTGCTATTGCCGGTTTTGAACATAATTCAGTTTTTGCGATTTTCAAAATCTGATCATAGCTAAGGCACTCATCTGAAGAAAAATTCAAAAATCCAACCAGACAAGTAAAAAATATTGATCGACTTTCTGTCGTAGATGAACCACATCCCCTTATCAATCTCTTTAAAGTATACCAGTATTCGTTTGCATCCCTTTCCTGATTAAACAGGTGTCTTAACATTGTTACCGCTCCATCAGTGCGCTCTTCTTCATTCAGATTTGTAATCCTTTTCAAATTTTTGAAGACATTGTTACTAATTTTAAAACTGTCAATACCCTTTTCGAAATTATTCATTTAAAACTACAAATTTCAATCAAAAATCAAAAACAATTTTTCAAAGGTTAGAAGTTTTAATAATATTGCCCAACTGTCAATAGTATTAATTCAGAAAACAGAACACGTTTTGTTTTTCATTCACGCTTATGGAGTGTTTACATAGGCAACTTATTGGCAAGAAAGTGTGAATAATATTAATTGTCGTTAAGTTCTTCAAAGTTTCAAATTACAGGCTACAGTGACGGCTTTTTTTAAAATAATTATTTTTGACCATCTTTGAATTTCTTTATTTTTGCAATAGTAAAATTAAAAATTGTTTGAATTTTCCTTACTAAATTAAACTGACAATATTTCGATATATTGTAGCTGATAGAATTAGGAGTGTTTGCAACAAAGTATATCTACTAATAAGTAGTTCGACTCGATAGTTTTCGTTTGCATTTTGCTTCCAAATTCTTAAAACATTCCATTTTTATTTAGAAATAGATTCCGTTAGTTTTCGTTGATAAGAGTTGTGTAGGCAAGAAAGAAACAAAGTATTGTAAACAAACGAGTGTATCAAAAACATTGAACTGAAATAAAATAAAATTAAGTTGGTATAAATTTTGTTTTTTCTATTTTAGTAATAACAAAATTTATTTTTCATTTTATTAAAGTTAGTTAAAAAATTCGAATGTATGAAAGCAAAAGGTATGAGTTTGAATATGCATGTACCTGGTACAGTAGATAAACAGTAACTGGTAGTGACATAGAAATAAAGTAATTTATAAAGGAAAAAAAGGTGTATGCATACTAATTAATACTTTATGAAATATAATTATTACCGATTCATAGGAAATATGTTTTAAATTTATTAAGATTGAAATAAAAATAAAAAATTTAAAGATAATTTATTGTATAATTGAAAAATATTGATGAGTGATTGCATAAGTGTGATGTAAACGGAGAACCGAACTACTTCTTTATGGATATACTTCGCTTTAAATTGGATATGGATTCATTGGTTCGTCGGCGACGAGCTGATGTATTTTGTACGAAAATTTGAATTTTTGACATCCTCTTTATTTTTAGAACAAAAACAAATATTCGATGTCGTTGAATTTTCATTTATGATGTTGTAATTGGAAATTTGACAAGCGGAACATAGTGGAACTGAACACATTTGGTTGTCAAGCTGCTTTTGAATTTATAAAAATTCAAAAACAAAGATGAACTTTTAATATTAATAAGGGAATGTGTTTAAATTAAATAAACACATTAATGAGTTTTTAAAATGTATGTTTGCAAATTAATAAAAATATGTTGTTGAAACGGCTTTTATGGTCTGTGTAACGAATAATTGTTTTTAAATTTTTTTTTTCACTTAATTGATTTTACAAAAGTAGTAAAGTTAGAATTGGGAGTAACAAAACCATAAGCCATATTCAATGTTCTCCAATATATACTTTGCTTATTTTAAACAGGTTTTTGAATGTCAGTCGGTCATATTGAGCGTTGTTCCACTGACATCAGCTAATTACGAGGGTAATAATTTTACGTCAAACTTTTGTTTATTATAGGTCATTGTACATGTCATTAGTTTGTCTATTTGGTGTGCGATTTGGTGCAGTGTGATAAATAGTGTGAAAAAAGTTTATACGTTTATCTCGTTATCATGATTTGTCTCGATTTAAAACAAATTTCACATTTATTAGTCCTTTTTCTTTAAAATTGAAAGAAATTTTAATCTTACTCTCTTACTAAAAAATAAGAGTAAGAAAAACTGGAAAATAATAGATTGATTTTTCAGCAGATACTTGAGTTTTCACAAAATTGATATTTTTATAAAGTTCATATTATGTTTTTCACAAAATTCTAAATTTTGTTTTGGCAAAAAAAATTCAATGTTTGAGAACTTTTACCAAAAGAAAACTTTTATATGGTTTTCTCAGAACTTGTAGATGGTTGAAATCTCAGAAATGTTTCCGAGCAAATATTTTCATTCCCACAAAAAAGTCAGTAGATTGTATTCTGAGCGTCGGTGATATGTCAGTATTAGACGTTTCAAAATTTTTTAAATTAAAAAATAAGGATAGGATAATTATAAAAAATTAGAATAGTTTTTGTTGTGAAAGCAAATATTTCTAACATTTACAAGCTTTTCGATACTTACAAGTTCGTAAGAATTTAACTTTAGATCAATAAACTTCAGAAATTTTCTACATATTTGAAAAAATTTTCGGTTTAGCAGAATCATACGCATCATTTTTCAAACCATTTCCTATACAAGTTATTGTTGCACATTATTTCAGACGTTAACCTATCACCTTTCACCAAAAAATTTTAATTCAAAAATTGCGAAATCGTCAACACAACAATTTGCGGTGTGAACTACCTTAAAATTTAGTTCACATAAAAATTCGTTGAACAGTCACGTTGCAAAAATTTGTTCATTATTATTTTGATAATTAGAAGTGATAACTAATAAAATTTTTGTTTGTAAAATTAAACTAAAAGATTGTTTTTTTTATAAAAATAAAATGAAGCAATTTTTTCTGATAAAATAATAATTTAAAAGAAATGAAGGTAAAGGACAGAACACAAGTGGACGCCACAGAACTTTAATTTACATATTCTGAATAAAATAACATTCGTAGCGGATTTAGAATTGAAAACGTATTTCTGCATAAACTTTTTAAGGGTAGAATTAAGGTACGACATAATAAATACAATAGTGTGTAAACATAGACTATTAATCATTTTTCAAATTAGTCAAATCGATTTAACTGCGCGTCTTTTTAAATTTTGCTACTTTTTTTGATTTATAAATATAAATCAAAAAGTCAATTATTTTTCATGTTTCTACGTCATTTCTTCCCCAATCGATTTATTTTTGATATTTCATATCAACCCTACTTTCCCATCGAATATAGAATATACCTTATTTCAATTGAATAATTTCCACCCAATTTTTATAAGAAATTTTTGCAAAAATTAGAAAAAATTTCTTCCATATTTAGATTAATCTAAATATGCAGGAAGTTATCTTTGGGAGTGGATTAATATTATTTAAATAATTTTCAACTTTATATACTTATTTAATAAATTCTATGTATTTCTATTGATTAATCATCAGTAAGTATATTTCAAATAAGCAATTTCGGAGGAGCTAATTTTGAATAAATGTTTGAAGGTTAAAAATCAAAATATATTGTAAAAATGATTGGAGGACTATTTGTATACAATCATAAAGGCGAGGTTCTGATCTCCAGAGTGTACAGAGACGATATAGGTCGAAATGCTGTTGATGCGTTTCGGGTAAATGTTATTCATGCAAGGCAGCAAGTTCGCTCTCCAGTAACGAATATTGCTCGCACTAGTTTTTTTCATATAAAGGTAAGGTTAATATCTTAGAAGAAAAAGACTTACAAAGTACTTTTATTACAGAGGGCGAATATTTGGTTAGCTGCAGTAACAAAACAAAATGTCAATGCTGCAATGGTTTTTGAGTTTCTACTTAAAATAATTGACGTAATGCAATCATATTTTGGCAAAATATCTGAAGAAAACATCAAAAATAATTTCGTACTAATATACGAATTACTCGATGGTAAGCTGCAGGAAAATTATTTTTGAACTGATTTTTTTGAATGCATTTGTTTTTAGAAATCCTGGATTTCGGATATCCTCAAAACACTGATACTGGTGTACTGAAAACATTTATTACTCAACAAGGTATAAAATCAGCCACCAGGGAGGAGCAAATGCAAATAACTTCTCAGGTTAATTAATTCTTATTTTTTAATTACGAATAAAAAGGTTACGTATGTGTGCTTCCTTGCAAATAAAATTTTAGGTTACAGGACAAATTGGTTGGCGGAGAGAAGGTATAAAATATCGTCGAAATGAATTATTTCTTGATGTTTTAGAATATGTAAACCTATTAATGAGTCCTCAGGGACAAGTACTCTCAGCACATGTGGCCGGAAAAATTGTAATGAAGTCATATTTGTCAGGTAAGAAATGATTAAAGTATGAATATTTTGTTATGTTACGTTGCATAATTTAGGTATGCCTGAATGTAAATTTGGAATTAATGATAAAATTGTAATGGAATCTAAGGGAAGGGGACTTTCTGGTGGGGCCGCAGAAGCAGATACTACATCCAGGTCAGGAAAACCAGTAGTCGTTATTGACGATTGTCAATTTCATCAATGCGTTAAGTTATCAAAATTCGAAACAGAACATTCTATTAGCTTTATCCCACCTGATGGGGAATTCGAATTGATGAGATATCGTACAACAAAAGACATTTCCTTACCATTCCGCGTAATACCTCTAGTACGTGAAGTTGGACGTACAAAAATGGAAGTAAAATGTGTTCTTAAATCCAACTTTAAACCATCCTTATTAGGTCAAAAAATTGAAGTTAAAATACCAACTCCTTTGAATACTTCTGGGGTTCAGCTTATATGTCTAAAGGGAAAAGCTAAATATAAAGCATCTGAAAATGCAATAGTCTGGAAGTAAGCAAAATAAATGATTGAATATCCGATGTAATATTTCTGAAATAAATAATTTTAGAATAAAGAGGATGGCTGGTATGAAGGAAACACAACTTTCTGCGGAAATCGAATTACTTGAAACTGACACAAAAAAGAAATGGACGAGACCACCAATTTCAATGAATTTCGAAGTACCATTTGCTCCCTCAGGATTTAAGGTAAAAGCTATAATAAAAGGAAGCAAAATTTAAGAGTTTTGAAACTGACTTTTTTGAAATCTCATTATTTAATCTTACTAACATATATAAAAAAATGTGTATGTTATTAAACACTACGTGCTCACTCTTGATACATACTTATCACAGCATAATTATCATTTTTCTACAAAAAAAAAACAATAATAAATTTTAGCATTATCAGTTATTTTTGTGAAATAAAATAATTTTTTATTTTCCTTTGAGAACAGAACGATTGTGCTTTCATAATATGTAATTGTTTTTTCGTTAAATTGATTTGCTTTTAATATATTAATTTAAATTAAAGTATTTTTGTGACTATTGTTCAAGATAAAGAAAATTATTTTAAAAACGAACTCAGTCGATTCAAAACACTTTTTATAATTTATTCAAAGTTTTTAAAACTAATTCATTTTTTAATTTAAGGTACGATATTTGAAAGTCTTTGAACCAAAGCTCAATTATTCTGATCATGACGTTATTAAATGGGTGCGCTATATTGGACGTAGCGGTTTATATGAGACACGATGCTAGAACAATATTATATGTGCAAGTGTGTGCATTATAAAACTTGGAATTTTTTCTTCAAAAAAATTTTCATACAAATAAGCGGAACAATAATTCTTTTTTTGTTTTTAATAATTATGATGGAGTGCTTACACTTGTATGTTGGCACAAAAAATTTGAATATTATGTTGTTTCAGTTTTTTTTCTAAAATTTAGCATTGTTAAAAAATCTTAAAAAAAAATCCTTTACAAAAACAGCCTTTTATGTAAATTATAATGCTCTACTATTTGAATAAAATACGTCTTGGCGTATAAAATTAGCCCAATATTCAATTTTTAATTGAATTATAAATAGTTAAACATAATTATATAAAGTATTGAACTTTTAAAGTTAATTGTAAAAATTAATTCATGAAACTCTAATTTGATTATCTAACTTAAAATTGATGTTATAAAATAATATACTTGTATCTATTCCATTATTTTAAAGTTTATCAAGATCATATAATATATAATATAAATGAAATTTGTATAAACATTCTCTAGAATCTCAAAGAGAAAATATAAAATATATTAAAAAAGTAAATGTTAAAATAAATAAAAATTATTCATGAACTATTCGTTAAATAAAAAGAATATGTATCTATAAAATACTATTCACAAAATAATCAATAAATATGTAAGATTAAAAATATAATAGATTTAGTGTTCTACAATTTGAAACTCATATTATAAAATGCAAACAATAAATTTAATGCAATGACATCTGTATTACCTAGTAATAATTTTTTGCAAATATATGTATGAATATTCAAATGCATATGTAGTTGGATGTTTATTACATTAGCTCTGCATTATTTTAAATAAATTTAAAGTTAAAAAAAATGGTACAGGGAGATTTAGCATGATTATGTAGAACAATGAAAAACTGAATCATAGAAATCATTTTATTATGTTATTATGTACATTAATCATGAACAAGTTTAGCAATTCATTTATACTTTTTTGGAGCTATTAAAAACTCCTTAGCAAAGCGTTTCAATAAAAGCAGAAAGAAGATTAATAAAATTGTATAATTTTAATTTAAATAATTCCATTAAAATTTTCTGATGAATTTTAAATGTAAAGATATGATGAAATTATTTTGGCATTTATATGTCTGAGCATAATACACTTGTAAAACATGATTGAAGCATTAATTTCTCTTTGCCGCTATGCTTCATGACCAAATTGAAATAACATATTTCACATTGAGGATTAAAACAAGTAAATGACGAAATCTAAAACAGAAATTAATGTATTAATGACAAATTTAAGGGGACAACGATTCAATAGGTTAATGATTAGAAAATAGTAGGTCATATGAATGCTGAAATTAATTCTTGTGTCTCGAAAACAAAAAATCGGTCAACGGGTTATATATTCACAGATCAAAGCTATTTTAAGTATAGATTGCATTTTCTAAGTTTCTATAGGTAAGTAAAGTGGGGTGCCTTCCTTCGTCATATTAAATCGAACCTCATTTTATGAGGTTCAAATTTTTTGAGGACATTGGAAATATTGTATTTTGCAAATTTAATGAATTAGATAGTCGGCGAATATAATTGGACTTTGGCAAAAATTGAGTGTAGCCTCTTTAGCTCAGTGGTAGAGCACAGGTCTTGTAAACCTGGGGTCGTGAGTTCAATCCTCACAGGAGGCAAAACGAATTAATTTTTTTAGTAAAAAAAAAAACTAATAAAAATTTTATATTTTTAATAAATTTTATTTGCTAATGACATAATGAAGTTACTACACATTAAAGTAAAAAGATTAACTAAAAATTACGAAAAAAAAAATGTAATTTTGCCTCCTGTGAGGATTGAACTCACGACCCCAGGTTTACAAGACCTGTGCTCTACCACTGAGCTAAAGAGGCTTCCACCAACCCCTTTCTAATTTTCTCTTATCTATTTGATACACAAAATTAAAATGAAAGTCTTCACATTTTAAAAACTTTAATCGCCATTAATTGCAAAATAAACCAAAATATATTATATTATGTAAGTATGTACATACAAATCGTGTCTAACATGTAAATGTGCATTTGCATTTCATAAATATAATTTTTTGATTTCTATGTCTAGCAGTGTTCCCTCTCAGTAAAATCAAAATGTACCCGGTCTGGTAAAATAGAATTAATATACTAAGTCGTCTTATATTGTACAAATTAACTCAAAGTTAATATTAATTTGCTTTCAAAATAGTGTAAGTTTTGGTATTTATAGTTAATTCTTTGAGAAATCACATATAACTGCATTTTAATTGTAAAAGTTAAGGTCAGAAAATATACGTTCTGCACACGCTACGAAGATGAAGACGATTCGTCATGAAAACGAACAAATTTTGAAAAATATGTGCAGCCAATACATTCTCTATTACACCTAACTTACGTTAATATGTTTCTGGTATGTTCTTGTCTAAAAGTTCTAGATTTGAATACAAGAAGGGTGGCGCAAACTTAATACAGTATTTCTCTATCTATTAATATTTATTTTCTTCTAAAAAATTTGGAAATTCGATAAAGATAAAGCAATTTTGTGGTATTTGATACAGTTTTGTAATATTTATTTAATGTTTGAGAAAAAAAAATGTATTCATAATTCAACAAAATTTTCAAATATAGCCAATTGTTGCATTTTAGCAGATTTAAGTACGCTGTTGTTTGGACACCGTTTTCTTCAAGGCAAAAAATTTTTAATACGTGTTTTATATGCTGTTGTAGACAAAGTTTGACAAAATGTCGAAAAATATGTTATAAAGACTTATGTAAATCATAATATATAGTTCTTTCACATACGTACACATTTTCATATGTGTATGTAAATAGATAAATCAAATTTTGGAAAATTAGAAATTTTTATTTTTATTTTAAAATCAGTTTTATTTACTTCAAAAATCATTTACAATTCATTTAAAAAAATCTAATTGCACTTGATTGTATGCCTCTACTTAGATCTTTATATTTAAATAAACATACCTACTATTTAAATAAACATATCTACCGCTCTTTCTAAATGGTATTAAGAATATAGTTGTTTATTCTAAAAAACGTATAAGCAATTTAATCTCTTCCGAACTTGTGTGTAGTCCTTGGTCTGTCAACACGAACAATTTGTTCTCCAACATTAAAAAAACCCTCGTATCTAAAAAAAAAAAGAATCTTTTATTTTGCCACCTGAGGATTGATAATTTGGTTCCTTTTGTTAAAGGAGCATAAAAAATCGTGTTCTTACTCAACGTTTTCTGGAGTTGTATCATAATGATAATGACCACCCCAATTTGTGTTAGAAAAACTATGAAAATGTTGAAGTCGCAAGTCTAAATCCTTAAAGTAAATTCGAAAATCTTAAATTTATATTATTTTTATTTCATATATATCCATCAATAAAAAAACATTAATATTGAAATTATTAAAAATTATGCATTGAATTGCTTTTATAACTTTATTTATTATTTTCAATTTCTAGCAGTACGAGAGCTAATCTTTTTCATGGCGATAGTTATTTGTTTCCAATTAACAAACCTATAATTTTTTAATTTTATGTTACCCTTACGTTTTCATTTGTAATCAAGGTTCCAACAGCATTAAGCACAGCTGGCATTTCATAAAATTTTAGCCAATTATTTAATTGATCTTCAGTATTAATAGGCGTAGTTGAAAAGTGACGCATTACATGCTGATAAACCATACCACTTTTTATTAAAAATAATCCTCCAAGACCTATATTTATTTATTTTGAAAAGAAATTTCAAATATTTAATGAGATTTTATTATATTATTTTCAAATATAATAAAAAATTGAGTATTCGTAATCAATATATTGTGTTATATGTACATAATATGTCTGTAAAATGTATATGAAATGTAAAAATCAAAAATAGTGTAAATTTAAATATAAAAAAACTAGCATTTACAAATCTTCAGTAATTAATTTATCAAAATTTCAACAAAAAAAAAATCATTTTCAGATTTTCTGAAGAATCTGAATTAAATCGATACATTTTACAGTCCAACAATTAGAAATATATTTGAGTTTGCGATGACCGTTAAAAAGTTAATAGTGCGCGAATTCAACCTAATTATATACATTATAACTCCAAGTACATTTAAATGCATTGATAAATATGACGCTCTTACGACGTTTTGTTTACCGTTTACGTTTATTTTTGAAAATCGTTTTCAAACAAACGATTTTTTAAGATGGTACCAACTTACCTACACATTTTTCTTTGTAGAAGTTTTGTAGCGCAATACGTATGCTTGTAATAAAATTTAATTGACCAATTCGTTTCTTGCAATGAACCCGTAAAACTTTACCAGGTTTGCCTTCACACGCAAATAAATTTGCTAAAAGAGCAAATCTTTTTTCAGTATCTGGAAGTTTTTCTAAAGCGCATTTTTCTTCTACTCCAACAACACGGGCAAGATAACTGCAATTTTTTATAGAACCATTGTTTTCAATTTTCATATTGTATATTCCTTCACAATTTTGATCATGTATCTGTATTAATGAGTTTATAAAAAAGTTACTATATACTTATGTAACGTAAATATTTTATTTATAAAATTTTATAAAAATTTACCATATGAGGTCCCGCTCCAGCACCACATATTAATATATTTGTACTTTCTTTCCCTATAGATCTTTTAGCAATTTCTGTAATATCATAAATCTTTGACGTATCCACAAGTGGCAACAAATAAGGTGGTCCACCTACTTCAACTAATGTAGGTGATCCACAAAGACCTTTACCAAAAAATAGTAAAAGTTTCAAACGGGAAGGAAATTTTTATTGCTTTAGATAACAAACCTGAATCAGCTAAATAATATGGATCATTTTTCAAATTTGGACAGTCAACAACCTCAACTGTAACTTGATCAAAATTTGACCTCAAAGCTTCTTGCAATACTACAAACAAATTTTATATATTTCTATAAGTACACAGTATACATATGTAATGCAAGTAATGTTAGTAATATTAGTATAATATTGCTATAATAATTCTGATTTCTTGAATAGTCTTTTCTAAATGAACATAGGTGTATACATAAAAGATGATTTGGTGTATAACTCTGGTGCATGTACATAAATATGTAATTAGAATATCGTTAAATTAATTAAGGCACATTATGGGCCAAGTAGAAAATTTATTTTAAATTTAAAAAAGGTTAGGACAGGAAGTTAGGACTAATATTCGAAAGCAAGTAAGTTCGTAAATAGGCATTCTTTATGAAATATAAGTTTCAAAATAAACTTTACCGAAATTTTCTACAAATAATGTTATTTTTTTTGTCATATCAATAAATCTAACCGAACATTAAAAAATATCATAAACTACAAGTTGAACGATTTTGGTACTTATACAAAAAAAGCAAGTCGTATCTGCCTAACTAAGTACATGTGCCTATTTTAAATATGTCTAATTCTAAAAAAAATTTGTTCTTAGATTTTGTCCAAGTACCATACCTTTCATAATTTAATATAACCTGACCTGTTCTCAATTGGAATTCGCACTTTTCCCTTCAACAAGTGAAAATTTTGCTTTTAAATACAGTCTATGTATACCTATCACACTATTAAAATTATTTTCATTCATATACAAAACTATTTCTAAGATTGCATATATTTAGGATGACGCATATATGCAGTGTTTGAAATAAAGCAAAAATTAATATAAAAAGGGGTTAACATAATGCTCGATTTTAAGGGTTAATTTTGTGAGTTAAGAAAAATAATTATATTTTTTAATGTCATGGAATTTACCGTTAACTTTTTGCTTTTATAGAAATTTGAAAAAGCTTGCGGTTTCGGAAATATAGGGTGTCAAAAATTCAAATTTTACAAATTTCAAGAGGCGATAACTTGAGAGGGGGTGGAGATGGAAAAACATTTTCTTCTGAAGAATTGAACTATTTGTTAATGTCTATAAGCCCCTAAAATTTCAAGCTTCTACAGGCTGGGGTCTAGAAGAAAAACGAAATCAAAAATTTGGAAAAAAGACTTTAGCAAACGGTAAATTTGGCCATTTTGTTTTTCTAAAGTTTAACTATAGTATACCGCGCTAGGGGAAGCAAGCCACTGCCTTTATGCGTTTGCAAAATTTCAAAAATGCTTATGGTTTCATTGCAACAAATAGTTAAAAAAGGCCATTTTTAGGGTTTTGGGGGGGTATAACTTCTAGAGGGGGGGAGATAGGTAAAAATTTTGTTCTACGGAAATAAGTTTCTAGTAAAGATCTATGTACATACAAAATTTCAGCTTTCTATCTTCAAGGGTGTAGAAGTTTTGTATACAGACACACGGACAGACGGACGGACGGACAGAGTGAAACTAATAAGCACTTTTTTTCAAAATTTTTTTGGAAAAGTGCTAAAAACAAGTAAAAACGTTTCAGTCGGTACAAACCTTTCATTGTTGTATAGCAATTACTCGAATATGTGAAATCATTCTATAGAAACTTCACGGATATATCTGACCTATAATTGCACACACGACTGCCAAATTTAATGAATCTGACTTTATTATTTTTTCAAATATAAAAAATTAGCTTTTGGACTTCTATGGCAGCTACCCCAACCTGACAAGAAATTCAATCAAAACTTCAAGAATATGTTTGACCTATAATTGGACACACGGCTACCATGTTTCATAAATCTGACTATATTTTTTTTCTAAATATTTAAAATCAACTTTTGGAGTTGTATGGCAGGTACCCGAACCTGTCAAGCAATTCCACTAAAACTTCAGAAATATATCTGAACTATAATTGGACAAGTTTCATGAATCTGACTTTATTATTTTTCAGAATATAAAAAATTTGCTTTTGGAGTTGTATGACAGCAGGCCGGACCAGTGCCGCTATTTAATTAAAATTTTTAGAGCATATGTAGAATGTAATTGGGCACATGTATACAATACTTCTTACCTTTATTAATTTTTGAAATATTTAAAATAGACTTTTTAAAAGAAACAACTTGTGAAAGTTTGGTGTCGATTGCATTATTCGTTTTTGAGATACAGTGCGATCGGACGGACATGTTTAGTCAACGCATAATTTTTACCATACCGCAGATGACTCCTAGTTACAAGTAGTTACAAACTCCATACCAAATCCTTCACCAAGCGCATGGTTTAATAATTTAAAATACTATTTATAGTTACATAATATGTACCTATGTATGTATATACAAACTTATACAGAAATGTATATAAGAAATATCGGCTTCAAATAGTAATTCATTTAATTTTTATAATCTTATTTAAAATCAAATATATAATATACATGTAAATATGTACGTGTGTATGTGTGTATACATAAATATAAACTTTAATTAAATTTCTGCATTCTTTAATTTAACAAAAATTGTGTGTGCAAAAATAGTTGGCGTATTATTACAAGTGCATATGTAGCTGTGTCAATGTAATTTTTTTCATATTTTACCTATTCTTAAGATCTCGCACTGAATGACATTGCATATAATGAACAGTAAAAACAATAATAATAATCAACCGTAATATAAAAAAATAATTCAACTACAACGTGACGATAAGCTTTACCACTTTTTATTCAAAAGAAACTAAAATACTAAAATAAACCTGCCAAATCACATTTCAATCTAGCTACTCAGTACTTAATTACTTTCGTAGCTCTTAGCACATAAATACATATCGTACTGTTATCAGATTTTTGTTTGTAAATAAAATCTACACTTAATATATATGTACATATAAATAAACATACATACATATATATATATACAGTAGTGGCTTATCTCCAATATTTATGTAAGAATATTATAAAAAAACGATTTAAATTGTAAATATTAAATTCATAAATTATATTTTAAAATTATATTATTTAATAATCTCACCTTCCTGAATTTCCTCTAATTTGGGTACAAATAATTCTTTTGTTTCAAATAAAAGGTCTTCTGTTTTTAAAAACGACATTTTTCAGTGAGTTTATTTTTATCGGTTTTTAATGTTTGTAAAAGCTTTGGAAAGAAAATATTAAAGAAATCAATCTTCATTAAGTGCCGTAGACAGACTAAATTAAATCACAGTTTTTATATAAATTAAAACCGTAGTCATTGAAAATAAAAAAATTAAAATTAAAACCTACTTTGGATTGAACATGTAATCTGTCTACACAACCAAAACTAGGCTAAGTCAATTCTTACAGAGTTGCCGTAACAAAAAAAAATGCAGTGTTTTAAGACATACCTCATTCCAGCTTGCTACACGTGTGCGACTTAATGTAAAATTATTTTTCAAATTATAAGCACGATTCATGTGAAGTACTATGATTACTTAAAGAACGTCAATGTTTTTATTAATTTATTTAATTATATAATAATATAAAGAAGTACGTAAAATTACCATATTAAATGATATGTCATACATTTTTATCACTTCTGTTTATTGCTGTCACAAAATCATTTTATATTATTTTATTTTTTATGAAAAACACATATGACTTTGACAATTTGCCGTTATTTGTTTAATATCAGGTTGAATATTTGATAGACACAAAATCAACTTATTTTTAAGAAAGCAAAAACCAAAGAGAAAAAATTTATCTATTTGACTCTTGTCTTTTTAAACTTGTTTAGAATTTATTATTAAAAAATTGAATAACGCAATGTCGTGCATTGTAAAAATTTGCAATCGAAGTCCTATTTGGTATCCTGTTGTAAATTTTTTAAATTGCAACAAAATTGCTTCGATTGTGTAATATTTGAAAATATGTCGTTTCCATTAACACAGAATAAAGAGACTTTGACATATTTTTCATTTTAACATCATCAAAACTTTCAAATGTGCCGTACGTAATAAATATTTTTATTTTCATTATTTTAAAAAATCACTTTTTTGGAAAATCTTGGTTGAGAAAAACAAATTTAGAAATTTGTCAAAAATATACAATATGAAATAAATTAAAGTACATGCATGAAAATATTCCTAAAAAGATAATTCAAAATATGCATTATAAATAAAAAATGTAGATTGAGATCGGGATGCATGATCAAGATGTCTATGTTGATCAGATAGAAAGCAAATTATTTACCAATTCATTACAGATTGATACCAATCACAATTCAGTAGCCGCTTTGGCCAAATCGATTCTGACATATCAGTAGTCGATAAATAATAAACTTGGTTAAACTTATAATTAAAAATTTTCATTTGTAATTTATTAATTTTACATTACTGTCATTTTTAGCACTTTTCAAAAAAAAATTTTGAAAGAAAGTGTTTATTAGTTTCACTCTGTCCGTCCGTTTGTCCGTGTGTCTGTTAACAAAACTGCTACACCCTTGAGGATAGAAATTTTTTATGTACATAGATGTTTACTAAAAATTAATTTTCGTAGAACATAATTTTTACCTATGTCCCCCCACTAAAAATTATACCCTCAAAACCCTTAAAATGCCATTTTTCAAATATTTACTGTAGTAGAACCATATTCATTTTGCAAATTTTGCAAATGCAGAAAAGCAGTGGGTGGCTTCTCCTATCACGGGATACTGAACTTGAATTTAAAAAAAACAAAATGGCAGTTAAAATTTACCGTTATATTCCGTTTTTTTTTCAAATTTTTGATGTAGGTTTTCTTATAAACCCCAGGTTTTGGGCGTCTGAAATTTTAGTAGCTTTTAGGCACTAATAAATTGTTCATTTCGTTAGAACAAAATTTTTTTCTTCTTGAAATTTATAAAATTTGAATTTTTGGACGCCTTATATTTCTGGAACCACAAGTTTTTCTAAATTTCTATAAAGGCAAAAAGCTAACGGTAAATTCCATAACATTAAAAAATATAATTATTTTCCTTAACTTACGCAATTAACCCTTAAACTCGAGCATTATGTTAACCCCTCTTTAAATAAATTTTTGCTTTATTTCAAAGACTGCATAAATCATTCATTCTAAATATATGCAATCCTAGAAATAGTTTCGTATATGAAAGAAAATAATTTTAATAGTGTAGTAGGCATACGTAGATTGTTTTTAAAAAAACAGTATTTTTTTTTTGTTGAAGGGAAAAGTGCTACAATACAAACCATTGGTTTGACACAACTTTATTTAAATATCATTAATCATAATTTCTATAATTTCTATTTAAAAAAAAAATAGCGAGATGCGGCATTAAAAAATACAAAATTAACATTTTTTTATATTAATGGTTTCAGTAAAATAATAAATGACATGTGGACGTGAGCACATTTTTAAGACACTTTAGAAAAATTTGTTATACGCCTGTCAATAAAAAATATAAAAACAATTCAAATTTGAGTTGAAAAAAAACTGTTTTTAGAAACATGTGCTTACAGATCACTTTGTAATTTTTGTACATATCATATGCATTTGTAAATTTATACATAAAGTACATATTGTAATCTTTCTTATTTTTCAGCTGTCGTGCAAAATTTAACTATTAATAATGTCGCATGAAGAAGTACGTATTGAAGTGACGGTTAAGCAAGGAGCGTTGGTGGGAGTTAAAAACCAATTGGATAATAATTTTACTTATTATTCTTTTAAAGGAATCCCTTATGCAAAACCGCCAGTGGGAAATTTAAGATTCAAAGTAAGAACGATAATAGCAATTAAAAGGCTTGTTTAAAATTCCGAAAAATATATACACATACTTGTAAAATGGAAAATGTTTTCTCAAATCGCTTACTTAAATAAATTAGAGATATGTAGTATTTATTACATTTTATTACAGGATATTTCATATTATATTTCTACGCATATGTTTATAAAAAGGGTAGCAAATCGTTTAAAAATAAGTCAAGCTTATTGACATAAAATAATTTTTAAATCTGCACTTGTATCCTATATGCTTGCTATATGAATAAAATTCATATGCACATAGCACATTTCGCATTGAAGTTAATCTGTCTCTCTCTTTAATTTTCCTTAAGTTTTTGCTTTTCAAAATTGTTTCGGTCTTTTTTAAAAGAAAGGCCCTGTATTTTTCTTCGTCATAGTGATGACTTCTTATTTAGGTATACTCAAGAGAATATTCATGAACCGATAGTACATATCTTTTGTATAATGTAACAGTTAATCTCATGGTGCTTACTCTCGGCTTGCGGAGTTCGATATCGTTTTCTATCGGTCTGTGAGATCATTGCTTTAACGTTTTTTTTTTATCTGGATCGTTTACATTTTTGCCTTAGCTGCTGTTCCTTCTCTGTCTTAATTTTTGGTATACATTATCTTTCTAGGTTCAAAGAATCAATTGCTATTTTTTCTTTGGGTTTTTAACGTTTGAAGCATTAAAAATTTTTAAGAATTTTAGCCTCTAAGTGATATTAATATACTCATTTCCTTCTGTAGTTACTAGCAACAGTTGTAATAATATGTACTTATGTATGTATTTACTTTTTGTCTATAACTATTTACATACATATATGTACATATTATGTTTTTAAATTACGAAGGACTCTAAGTTGTTTGATATAAAATTACAATGCCGTTATTTTATAGTTAAAATCATGGTCATCTAATTTCAGTTTGCGATATTACTATTAATATTTCGATAACTTTTCCAAATATCTTCGAAAATACTTCGTGTAATTATGATTTATTATAAAATTTGAAATTAATTTGTTTAATATTATTCTTTTGTATACATTTCTATAAGCCTCCGCAAAGTTTAGAAAAATTTAATGATAACCCAATTGATTGCACAAAAGAACGCAGCCCTTCATTTCAAACAAATATGTTTACTAAAGAGTTTGAAGGAAGTGAGGACTGTTTATATCTTAACATATATACCCCGAGTTTGGAAAACAATTCAAACATTAAAACATTTTACCCAGTTATGTTTTGGATTCACGGCGGCGGATTTTCAAGTGGTTCAGGTAATAGCGATTTGTAAGTGTCAATATTTCTGCTTTAAAAAAATTTATATTAGCTTTTTTGATTAATTTTGTTAATTTATCAAATTAGGTACGGACCTGACTACATTATAAAAGAAAATATAGTGTTGGTAACAATCAATTACCGTTTAGGTATTTTTGGTTTTTTAAGTTTCCCCGAAGGGGGTATTTCTGGAAATGCAGGACTCAAAGATCAGGTATGAATGAGTAGTAATATGTAGTGTGTGCACTTGCATTTACTTGCAAGCATTTTGCTGTAACTTTATTTATAAAATTACTTTAAAAAGAAAATAATTTTTAGCAAATGGCATTAAAATGGATACATGAAAATATAAAAAATTTTAATGGCGATCCTAACAACATTACGCTGTTTGGAGAAAGTGCGGGGGCTGTTTGTGTTCATTATCATTGTCTTACAGAAACGTCGAGAAAATATTTTAGGAAAGCTATTATTCAATCAGGAACCGCAAAAATGCATTGGGCTTTACAAGAAGACCCTTCATATAAAGCCAGAAAATTATCCGAGCTTCTTGGTTTAAAGAAATCGGCTACTGATACAGAAATTAGTGAATTTTTAACTAGTTACAGTGATATTAAAAAAATGCATCAAAACATGTATAATGTATTGTCACAGAGGGAGAAAAAGCGGGATGTGATGATGCCTTTCAGACCGTCCCTTGAACCTTACTCCGCAGATGCTATGATTATTTGTCCTTTTAGTAATAGCATTAAGGATCAAAATTTACAAAATTTATCTATTATATTTGGGTGTACTTCAAGTGAAGGTATGGTGATTTTAGAAAATGAATTCCCACGTCTGGAAAAATTTAATGGATCAGATTACGCACGATGGGTTCCATATAAATTTGGTATCTCAGAATCAGATAGTCGATTCTCAAAAATTATAAATGAGATTAAAACATTTTATATGAAAGATTCTGAAGTAAAAATGGATAATTTGAACCCGTTTATAAATTATTTGAGTGATATTCATTTTATTTATGAATTTTATAATACAATTCAAGAGCATATCAAGTATCAACCAAGCAGTAATTTATACGCTTATAAGTTTTCTTTTGTCGGTGAACTAAATTTATATAAAAATTTGCTAGGTTATAAACACTTAGATGGAGCAGCCCACGCTGATGAATTGTTTTATATTTTTAAGCAAACTTTATTTATGAATTACGATTTGAAACCAGAAACTAGAGAAGATAGAATTGTACAAACTATGTGTCGCATGTGGATGAATTTCGCTAAATATGGAAACCCAACCCCTTCAATGAGTGATGTAATAGATTTTAAGTGGGATCCAGTTGGAGAAAAAAACAATGAAAATGGTGAACTAAATTTTTTGGAAATAAATGATCGTTTGGAAAACCAAAAATATTTTTGGGGCGATAGGATTAAATTTTGGAAAGATATGGAAAGTAGTTATCTCGTCAGAGATAACACGTTTTCGAAGTTGTGAGCTTTTTTTTTTGTTTGTTCAATGACTTTAAAGGTAAATAGTAAATTTATACGAAGTCATTGAGTTAATTTATTTTTGGTTTTATAATTAATTATACATAATTCTTCATACAGTAAGAGTGTTTTTTATTGAAAATGAAGTAGATTTATTGGTTTGTGGAACCGATTGAATGCTAAAAGTTGATTGATTTGTAGAAATTGTACAAAATATTATGTATAATGATTTAAAAAAAAATTCTTTTTGTTTCGCTTACGATTAATTAAAATGAGATATCTATAAATAGATTAGGCAGAGTACAAAAAGTATAGTGGTACTTAGTAAGTTTTGTTTTATTATTTGGGTAGTTATGTGCATAGATATTCGATAGTTGTAGGCGTTCTTCACTTGAAGTTTAATTTTAACCTATCATGTGTATAATATATGAAAATAATTTGTGCATTTCTTTCTTTTTTTTTTTAAAATCATAATACATATAATTCTAATCATAATACATATATATAATAAAATTTAAACAAGTTTGGCAATAGGTTTTCAAATTTTTATTTCTATATTACAGAAATCGTCTCTTTTAAAAATACACATTTTTGTTAATTTATATTTTATTAATAGAATACAATATAGTTTGAAACATTAACCACGCTACCTATTTGTTTATATATTACTTTCTTTTTAATTGATTAATAAAGCATTAGGAAAACAAAATTATATTATTTTATCACATTGTTAACAATGTCCAAATGACCGAAATAATGTAGTATGTATATATACGCATATATCTGTATTCGTATTTTATTATTAGAAAAAAAAAATAATTCACTTATGCTAAACCAATTAACAATTATTAGATCTATTTTTAATATTACATAATAGAGACACAGTTCTTAACTGAAAGTAACAACATGTATTAAAATTTTGATCCTGTTAAAAATAATTTAAAAGATTTCATCTTTGCCTAATTAGTAAAAATTTAATATTAAACAAAATATTGCAGACGAAATGCAAAAACGTTAAAGCTTTATAAATTTTGCTTTAAGAAATTCCTCAAAAATATAAAGTACATTATTTGTTATGCATGTAATTGTATACATATAGGCATAAAAAACTATTCTTAATTAATTTAAACATATAATTAGTTGATTTAATTCAAATATATTTTGTAAATAATAAAAAAAAATAAAAATAGCAAAAAAAGGAGTATTAGCACTGTTTTCAATTCCTTTCTCCTGATCTTGGCAACCTATAGTAGAGCACAGTCTTATATGTTAAAGCAATTCTAACCCCTCTCGGTTGTCATTTTAAATAAGCCGTAGAGTTGATTCGTACACTTTATTTACATACTTTGTGAGATCAAATATTTATAATAATGTACTAAACAAAGAACATAAGCTAGATTGATAAAGAAACCTCCCTAAGCACGCGATATAAGTATACTAAACCATATATTTAGTTTTAATTATTTTCTTATAAATTCTTATGTTTGAATTTAATATTTAAAATATTGTCCAAATAAAATTAAAGAATTTAAATTAACGAAACAAAATTTGCAAGTTGAAAATTTAAAATACAGTAAAGAAAACTTAGAAACGAATTTTGTTACTTCCATGAATTTGACTGAATTTGGTTTATGGAAATAAATAAATTTTATATACATATTATGCATTATGTAATTATATAATTTATATTTTGACGTCATACGTACATACGTATTTATAATTTTTGTTATTATTTAATTCTCTAATGCACGTAAGCACTTCAAGGCAGAATTAGTATAATCTCTAGATTATACTAGAGCAGAATTAGTTCCCTGCCGCTCTAGATAATTTCAACTTATGGCTATAACTAATTTATTAATATAAACATGTATAACCAATGAAAACTACGAGCATTTAATATCTGATTTCTAATATTGTAGATAATTGAAATAGTAACAAGATTCCAAATTATAGGTTTGTAATGCTTTGAAGACAAAACTTATTATGGGATTAAGATTTATTAGAGCATTAGAGGATTAAATATTTTGAGATTTTCGCCAAATATTTTTTATAATTCAAATATATAGTACATATTTACATTTAAGTGGTTACGCAAAAATTATATTATTAAGTTACTTTTTATACAAGATTTTAATTGAAAGTTTTGCAAGTTTAAAATATAAACCTTTTTATATTTGAATCTTTTTATGTATTGACTATTTATGCTCTGAAGAAACGGACTACCCTAACTATATATTGTCGACAAATGGGACATTCGTTTAAAACTTTACCACAATTTGTACAAGTTGCTAGATGACCACATTCCAAAATAACGCATTCTATTGGTGCATCCATACATATTTTGCAAAGATCGTCAGTAGGTAATTTTTCTACAGCTATAAAAATATTAAATCAAACAGGATTTTTTGATGGAATAATGTCTCATTTTAATCAAAGATTAAAGTAGACATCTATTTTTAAAACCAGTTATTAAGTATTTGAGTATTTTGATAATTCTGTTTGTATTTTAATTTCTAACTTAGCATTTAAATAAAATTAAGATTAAAAATGTAACTCAAATATGGTATTTGTAGAAAAAAAGTTCACGGTGCAGTAATGTTAAAACTGCAAAATAGCGTTTACTTATTTATAACCTATTATTAGTTTTCAAAATAACTGAAAAATCATACAGAAAACACGTACAGAATTGAAATGTAAAACCAGCATCGAAACTTCAGTGCTAAGTCAGAGTTTAATTATCAAAAATGCTCTTTTATTTAAATGTACTGTCATGTGATATTTCAAAACTAGTACCTGGACATTCCTGTAAGTCTTTCCAAAGTCTGTGTACTCTTTCTAAAAGTTCATGTTTTTCACAGCATCCTTTGTAATCAATTCTGTTAAGCATTAATATTTCTTTTAATTGTTTTACGGATAACTCGTCAATTTCCTCCCTAGAAAACAAAACGTTTTTCGTTTTCCTAAAAAATCATACAAAAATTAATAATTCATTGAATTCAACTTACTTCGTTTGAAAGTCATTTAAATTTAAGAAGCGATTATCATAACGTCCATTTGTAATTAACGGTCCGTCATCTTCATTGTGCGCGTAAACATGAATTCCTTCATCATCTCCTAACAAAGCCGCAGCTGCTGCCGCTTCGTAATGTAATTCTGCTAATCGATGTCCCAAAGTTCCTAAATCGATTTGAAATTCCCGATTCGAACCTTCCGAATCTTCAGAACCATCAAATGATTTGGAACGATTTTCTAAATATTCCAAAAATGCATCTAGTTCTTGCTTTATTTCCTCTTCAGTTATATTTGAATTTTCTAAGTGTTTTTTAAATTTGAGCACCTGCTTTTTTAAATTTTTTTTACTTTTACCACATGTTGCACATGTTTTTTTGAGACGTTTGCGAGTAATCGATATTTGTTCCTCGCTTTCATTATCGGATTCTTCATCAACTGGTGACATATTGTTTGTGATTATGTGATTAACATTGCTTCGGCCTGGAAGGGGAAAATGAACTCCAACATCAGGTTGAATAACATCATACATCATATCTAGTGCAGCTGCGGTATTAGCCCGATTTTGATTATAAATGTAACCGTCTGAACGCCTTCGAAGAATGCGTCGTTGTCGTTGAACATCAATAGAGTCGAGCGGTGAAACAGAAGCTAAACCTCGGTCATTAAATACAGCTAACGTGGTTACAGAAGAATGAACAGAGGGGTTATTTTTCGGAATGCTTGAGGAGGTGTCATTTTCTGTAGAGGTAGTTTTTTTTGAATTTTCTTTTAAGTTCTCTACATTTTCTTCTGAATCCTTTCCAACAATTTGCCAGTGCTCATTATCATTAGAAACATTTCCAAGGTTAGCTTAAACAACATACAATATTTATTTTTTATCAATTCTTAACTAGAATATGTTAAATAAATTTATTTACCATCATGAGGTGTGAGATTGCTGCCTCCTACTGCTCCTAATTCTTCAAAGGAAGAAGTGGAAGAGTCTTCGCATTTTTGTGGCGAATTGATTGATAATTCATTTACTTCTTTATTGTCTAAGTTGACTTTTTCTGGACTTTTCAGCTCGTTTCCAGAATTTTGAAGTGTGTTTTCAGACTTCCTTTTTCTTTCTTTAAAACTAGCGATGATTTCGTCGTCTGAACATTCACAGCCAGAATTATTTGCACTATTTGTTCCGTTTTCTATCAGAGAACCATTTAAATCACCACAGTTTTCAGTTGAAAAAACGTTTTTAAACATTTTCTTATTGTTTAAGTTAGATTTTTTATGAATACTAGGCATATCTTTCGAATTTTTTCTCCCAAACTCTTTTTGTTCCTCATTTACTGTAGTTAAATTTGATTCCGCTTCCTGAGCCAGACTATGAGTAGAATTTGAATTTGAAGGACTTTTTAAAGGACTTGTTGGACTACTTGGTGTTGTACTTGCCGTATTAGATTTAGAACTTTTATCTTCAAAACTACTTGCTTCATTTGAGTTTGGCACGATAGAGTTTCTTCCGGGGACTTTCGCGCTATGTCTTCGATCTCGTTCTTCAGAATTCATCGAAACTTGGTCGTTCTGACTTCTATAAGTTGGTATTTCACACCTAACAACTCTTGGTTGATCTGAAACGTTGTCAGGCCTAGACGTTCCTGCACTATTTTCTTGTCGATTTGACGATTTATTTTGATTCGCCAAATTCAAATCCGCAGCTATTTTGTCAGTAAAACTAGTAAAAAGATTATGACATGTTTGCTTTATTTGGTCAAATGGATTTGAATTATCTTGCGAACCCATTTTGCTGCTGCTAAAACTATTTGAAGAAGAAGAATGCTTGAAATGGTTACTATTCGATTGATTTTTTGGTGAATTATTTTCGCTTTTGTAACTATTTGAAGTATTGTCTAAAGAATTTACATGAGCCAGTATTAGGTTAACTAATTCATCCTTTTCTAAATAGTAAAAATATTTTTTAAAATTTACTGAATATAATTATGAAGCTTTGAATATTGAATTCTATTAATACATTTTTGGCATACCTACCCAAGAGCAAATATTTTATTTTAATATCTAGTTTCTTAATTAGAGAAATTTATCTAACACTTACCAACGCATCCTTTTGTTGATATATGCTTTGATTGTAAATAAAATATTAAATCTTTTGGTTTTAATTTCTGTAAATCAACCTTTAATAAAGGTCGTTTCGTAAAAATTATACATTTTTCACATAAAATTGATGAACTGTTACGTTTGACTAGACATTGATTACAGTAGAATCGCCTGAAACAAAGACGTCAATTTAATTAGTGAAATCGATAATTGAAACAAAACAATACGAAATTACATAAATGTAAAAGAGAATAAAAAATATTACAGTATAGACAAGTCTGCATAAAAAGAAATATCGTCATAAACATGAATATAAAACCAAAGTAATAAAATCAAACAAAGTTTTACTAAATTATCGTTTTTTCTCCGCATTCATAATAATATTTGAAAGCAATAATTTTCAAAGTAAACCTACCTACATTCACTGCAGTTACGTTTTCTTTTAAAAACTGTAAATTGAATGTTACAACCTTCACATGGCATTTTCTATAACTTGGATTTTTTGTAGCACTAATTGATTTTTGCATTTCCTAATTGCCCTTTTCATAAGCTAAACACAATCGAACTTCTCCCTCGAAATTTTGTTGCGTTATAATTGGAATTTATTTACGTATAATTTAAAAAGTTTCCTTAAGTAAATGCTCAAAACATGTTGCAATTATAAACAGTGAAAACAGTTAAATCTCTAAAACTGTTTTTTAAAAATCAACTTTAGATATTTTTATAAACTTAAAATAAAATTTCAATGTTTTTTACCAAACGAGAAATTCTTGTAAAAAACATAACTTTTGACAAATGAAAGTTGTAATGAAAGTAGAGATAATGACTGATGATTGACATAAAAGTGGAATCAAAGTATTTCAGCTTTACCGTTTCAAATATTGCAAATGCAGTATGAATTTATAAAAATGTCAAAAAGCAAATATTTGACATTTACTTTTTAATTTTTTTTAATGAATTCTTAACAATGGTTGAATACGTATGTAAATATGTATGTATTTCAAAAATTTCGAAATAAATATTAAGTTAAAGCGACTTAAAAAAACAAAAACTTAAAAAATTAACTGAATATAAAATTTGATAATTGTGTTTAACGGCAAAAAAGAAAATTTTCGAGCTGAAAAAAAGTGCATTAAATACTATTAGTGCACTATACGTATATACTATAACAAGAGCGCTTTTCCATTAGACTATATTGTTGGAATTGGTTTAGTTAATGTAAACATTAATAAATACATTATTTAAAACATTTGTTTTTTTTTAGTTTATCTGAAAATAATTAATTTTATAAATACGTTTTTGAATATAAAGGATGAAAGTTAATTAATAATATAAAAAAATAAAAACAGTAAGTTAAATTTTACTTAATACCTCACCATTGGTGTTATGGTTATGGTACCTGTCCTTTATTCGAAGGGTAAATTCCGGTCAGATCGCTATAAAAATTATACCTAATGTAATAACTTAATATGCAATATTTATAAATATAGTGCACAAGTAATTTTCATACATTCATAATATTCTATAAAACTCTATTACGCAATGAAACTAGGGCATGATTAAATATGATACCAAGTACTATAGCCCTATGCTCCTCCTCGGAGTGAAGAAGGAAAAGAAACAAAAAAGAAAATTTTATTAAATAAGCATACTTTTGACAACACCAACATATATATTAAAGTCAATTCAGCTTGTCCAAAAATTATGTTATATGTAAGAATTATAACAAAAATTATATGTGAGAATCGTGCAAAAACAAACACGTTCACGACTTCTCCAATTTTGAAGTTTTTACATCTCTGCATCTTCATTATGTTTATAGTTTAATGCTTCTTGTTGATACTCTTAGTTCATAAATTTTTGAAAATAAGGCAAATTTTTTCATCTCGCGTTTATAAAATTACCAACCACGTTTCATAATGCTAATTGTTACATTAAATGTATCATTTACCTTTTCATGAAATTATCATTAGATTAAATAAAGTTGTCAAACTTTCTTGATGTTTAAACTCTTCCTTATAACGAAAAGAGTTGAAAATAGGAAAATAGGAATCGATTTATTCAATAATTTTTTAGTATATTATATAAATAATATACTAAAAAATATGCTTTATAATTAAAAGTGACATAAAGAATGTTATATGATTTTATTTAACAGTGACTGTTAAAAATAAATACATACTGTACATTAAAAATAAATATATATACTTTTACTGACATCATTTTAAACAGTTTTTTTCGAGATAAATTCGTGTAAATGATTATGTTCACATGCTTTATTCTCCATTTTTTAAAACTACCAATAAATATACCCAGAGTATAAATTTATTTACGGAATTAAAATTTTATCTTTTACAGACCACATAACTAGTATCGACTTTTAATATATAAGCAAATACAAATAAAAATATTAATTTATATACCTTGAATGAGATTTTCTTTCTGAAATGAACCCTTTCAAACATAATACTCTTTCTGTGTAAATTTGATTCTTTAATTTTTGTGGGAACACTATTTGTGAATGACAGTCGGCTAATAAACAATGTAAACTAGCTTTCACTTTTTTATTATTTCATTATCGTTCGTAATTTCATCAAATAAAGTGAACTGTGAAGTGACTGGTTGTTAATTAAGACGAAGTGTGTACGAGTACGAAATATACGGATACGGGAAATAGTGGATATTCTAATCGGTTCATAAAATTTAAAGGAAATTCATAAAAAAATAAAAATTCTGCAAGAAATTAAATAAGAATAAATCTATCAAAAAAATAATTATTAATAAATAAATTTCAACTCGGGTTAATTTTTACGAAGGCATAATTCTGAAAAGTAGATATTGAAAACCGTAATAGGAAAAATTCAAAATGGTGGACAAAATTGATATGAGTTTAGATGAAATTATAAAATCAAATCGGCAACAAAAAAGAGGCGGAAAAGGTGGTGCTATACGCACTCAAAGAAGAAGAGGAGCTGGAGCTGGTGGACGTGGTGGTGGCTTACGTGGCCGCCGTTCCGGAATCATTGCTGGTGGAATTATAAAAGGAAGAAATCGTGGGGGAGCGCAGAATGCAAAATATACGAGGGTAAAATATGAGAATTATGGACAAAATATTTTATTTTGAAATTGAAACTAGTAATGAAAATGGAGAATAATTCATCTTAATTATTAATATTGCTGAAGTATTTCAATTGAAAAATGATTTTTCGCTCAAATTAAAAGAAAAGTTGTGAAGTGTTGAGATTTCTAAAAAAAAAAAAAAAAAAAAAGAAATAAAAAAAAAGTGGACTCACCTTTAAAATTAGGGGCCCGTTTCAATCATAATGAAAGTGTGAAATTAAGAGTTTTGCATATTCTGATATAGTAATTTGAAAAATATTTTGGACATTTATCTTTTTTTTTTGTTTTTCAGCTTTGTTTTGAAAAGCATATAATTAATATTATTTGCGTGTATGTGAATCCACGCGATATGTAAAAACAAAATGTCTGCCCTCAATTATTTTTACATAATTTTTTATTTTTTTAAGTTATGCCTGTTTAATTAACATAAAGCAAGAAATTAGCAACTAAAAACATATATTATCTGTTCCTGCAGAGAAATATTCAATGATTGTCTACATAGTATAAAATTTTTGTACCGAAAATGTATAAATAGAAATCATCAGTCTATAAAACAATCATAATCTGTGCTGATGTCAGTTCTATTTTAATACTCCCTTGCATTTTCATTGTAATAAATGTAAAATAAACAACTTCAGTCAATCGTTAATATAACATATGTGTGAATTTCTTCAACAAAAGAAAATTCAGCATACATACACTACATACGTAGATAGAAAGGTGAACATGCATCCAACAAAATGAAATCCAATTTTCTAGGGTGATGTAAACAGCGCTTGGAAACATGATTTATATGATGGACCAAAAAGAGGATTGAAAACGGCTAGTAGCATTGGATCATCGAAATTACTTGTATCAAATTTGGATTTTGGAGTCTCAGACACAGATATTCATGAACTATTTGCGGATTTTGGCCCATTGAAAAGTGCAGCAGTACATTATGATAGATCTGGAAGATCTTTAGGTTTTTAGAAATTTTTCAGAATCATATTAAGAACGAACTGAATCTATTAATCGATTTTTCTATCTTTAGGAACGGCGGATGTAGTTTTTGAAAGAAGAAGTGATGCAGCTAAAGCAATGAAGCAGTATAATGGGGTACCATTAGATGGTCGGCCAATGAATATACAGTTCGCAACCTCTGAAGTACCTCCAGTAAGAGCAAATAGAATACCACAAAGAAGCCCAAATAAATTAAGACGTCCAAGTAAGAATATCATATTATTTATAATATACAAAATATTTGGGGGTGTTGAAGTGATACATTTTTTATTTTTTTTTTTTTAATCTACATAATACCCTGAATTGCCAAAGTAGATCGAATTTGTTCAGTAAATTTTCGCTTTAAAAATTTTATTTAAATTCAACTTAATTTAATTAAATATGAATGTACATTTTTCTAATTAAATTCACTCAAATTTTTCAAATAGTTCCAGGAAAAATACGAAGAGGTGGTGGAATTGTTCGTGGCAGAAGAATCGGCCGAGGAGGTGGTGGTCGAAATGTCAGAGCGGGCCCACAGCCAACCGCTGAAGAACTTGATGCTGAATTAGATGCTTATGTTAATGACATGAAATAAGTTGAATCAATAAATGTATTTATACATGTAGTTTTAAGACTATCCGCACCTAACTGTTAAAAGAATGAAAAACATTTGTTTATTAATGTTTAAAAATATTGACAGAAATTTACTTTAATAGAAAAAGTGTTTATTATACATAATAAACACATACGGTATAATATTTTCATTAAATACAAAATAAGTATGTATATGTATAAGAATCTAATAACAAAAAATTAAATGGACTGTTTTTTTTAATTCAAGAAATAAATTTGATTTTGTCATAAAAGTAATCTATAATTTTGAAAAATTTATAGTAACATCTGTGGACAATTTGAGATTAAAAATAAATTAATTGTAAAAAAAATTTTTGTTTATTTTATTATTGTAGTTGCAACCTCACGCAAGTGCTCTAATTGAAAAAAATTTATACAAAATATTTTCAAATTAACTTCTTAATTCCTGATGAAATATTCTGACCGTTTTCCAAAGTGTTTTTTTTATAAAGCAAATTATAAATTATCCTTGCATGGTGTGGAACCAGTTTCGTATGGCTATCTCTGAAAATTTCTATGGCAATGAATAAGTTATTTTATTAAATCTAATAGGTATAAAGGTATTTTTATGTTAACTTATTTTATTTAAGTAAATAAGTAGTTATAAATGAGTTACTTGAAACGTAAACTTGAAAATATATACTTAATTAGCTCAATACACAATTAAAATTCTGCCTAGTTTTGTTTTACGAGATCTAAAAGCAATGCAAAAGCAGCATGTAACCAGCAAAATCTCAAAAAATTATTAATTAAAGAAATGACACTTATATCTATGTACCTATGTATGTACATATGTATTTTTAATTGAAATACATATATACATATTATATAAATAACTTGTTACTTTAGAACTCATACGATTACCTACATAAGTATAACCATAAATGAACTAGGTATTTTTAAAAGGATTAGGAACTGGATCTTTATTACTGGAAGACTTATTTTTTTGATTATTTTTAACAAAATAATTAGTGAATTTCCCTGAAATTTTGTGGTACATTATTTACTACATATAAAATCTGTCGATTATTATAGTCAACTATGAACTTTTTGAGATCAAGTGTCAGCAATTATGGAATTTTACTGCGGTTCGAATTTAAATTTCATTATATGTATGTATATTAACATATGTATGTCAATTTTCTTGAAATTTTATTTAATACATTTTTTACTATATTTAAGGATTTTACACTTTTTACTATATTTAAGGAACTAATTGATGAAATTTCTGGAAATATAATATTTGAATTTTGGTTGTTAATGAAATTAATTTAGAAATTAAAAAAAAGCGGGTTTACAGAAAATTAATTTTCTAGATATGTATATTAATTATAAGGGCTGCTTGCTATCTTTTATAGAATTCTAATTAAATGTTTATATTACATTTTTATCAAATTACGTTTTTCATTTGAAAGAACTTATTTTATTAGACGGATTCAAAGTTTTACTTTGCATTTAATGAATAAAATATAAACAAGTAAGTATACCCTGCACCTTTCATTGTTGTATAGCAAGTGCTCGAATCTGTGAAACCATTCTATAGAAACTTCTCGGATATGTTTGATCTATAATCGTACGTCCAATACGCCTGCCCATAAATTTGAGCTTATTATTTTTCGAAACATTTAAAATTGACTTTTGGAGTTGTATGGCAAGAACCTGTTAAGCAATTCAACGAAAAGTTCGGAAATATATCTCACCTACATATATTTGGACACACGACTGCCACGATTAACTTTTGTAGTTGTATGGCAGCCATCCCGTATGTAATTGGACATACGTATACAAAATTTCATATTTAAACCTTTATTAGTTTATGTAATAATTAAAATAAACTCTATGAGTTATGTGGCAGGTACCCGAACCCGTTGTCCACATTGATCCAATTACAATAGGGTTTATCCTTGGCACAAAAGAAAAAAACTTGTGAGAGCTTGGTGTCGATTTTGAATTACCGTGCAAGGACGGAGCAAGAATATATACATACATATGTATATATGTATGTCTATACCGCAGACGACTCCTTCAAGTAGTTGCAAACACCAACTTCACGAAGATTCAGGGTATAAAATGGCTTTCTTGAAAAATCAAATTAATTTGTACGGAAACATAATTCCGTATAATGTGGCTTTGTACAACCCGCATTTTCTGAAAATTTTTTTTTTGTGTAAATTTTATTTATTGCGGAACTTAAAGGGAGAAGTTTGGTAAATATCGGGTTGATTGATTTCTTCAATTGGTAATTAAACCACAGGTTTGTCATCGGGAAGGATATTTGTGTTCATACATACAGTACATGTATAAACTTAAATGTGAACATTTACATATACCCATGTGAATCTCATGATGTTGCTTTTCATTTTTATACGCTTAAAATTAGCATTAAAGTTAATTAAATAAAATCCTTTTTGTATTTATATGAAAAAAATTATGTATTTTAATTAAACATTTCAATAAAAAAACTAATAACAATTATTATTACATTACTTTCTAAATATTCAAACTGACTAGATGAATACTATCGTAACTAAATGTAAAATTAAAATTAAAAAAAATATATATGTACGTTATGTATGTAGCATGTAGTTGTGTATGCATGTATGCTTTCACTACAAAGATTACCGATGATGAATTGTTAAATCTAATGGAAGATCTATATTCATTGCCTCACTAATAGGTTCATATTCAAAATTCGATCTTAACATCACTTCACTATCATATTGATGATAATGATTATTGAATTTTGTATTCCAATAATGCAAAGAAGATGTTGTTTGAGAAGTAAATTCGTGAGATGTTGATACTCCGCCAGTTAATTCTAATGGTTGATCATAATATAAACTATTATCAATTTTAAAGTATTTTTTATTTGCTTGGGTATCAAAATAGCCATCATCAAAATGGCAGGAAGACATTGATTCATCAATTATTTGTTCTTTACATATTGTGTACTCTGGCATTGATATATTTGGCGTACATTGGTTACGATCACGGTTATCTATTTCAATAATTGGTGATATTGGTGTTGGTGGAGAATAAGATGAAAGTGATGGTGAATTATCAGTTTTATTTATAAGAGATAGAAATTCTTGATGTATTTCATGTTGGTTTATATTTTTATTAGCTTCTTTAGCTTCCAAATTTTCTTGCTTATTTTGATTTTCTTGTATTGATAATTGATTATGTTTGAATGTTTTTACATGTTTACGTAAGGATGATGGATCTGTATACCTTTTTTGACATCCTGGAATTTTACAGCCATACGGTTTTTGTGTAGAATGTGTTTTAGTATGTTTAAAACGATCTGATGAATTTGAGTATGCTTTATTACAACCTTCATATGGGCAAATATATGGTTTTTCACCTGAATGTGAACGTAAATGTATTTTAAGATTTTCAGCTCTAGAAAAACTCTTTGTACATAAATGACATTTATGGGGCTTTTCTTTTGTATGAGTTCGAACATGAACAAGCATTTTATATCGAGCATTAAAACCCCTATCAGAACGTGTACATCCTACCCATTTACAATAATATAGTCCTTCAGCAGTTACTACAGCATGTACTTGTGTAACATGAAATGCAAGGGATTCTAATGAGTCGAAAATTCTGAAAATATAAGAAAAAATTTTATCATTATTATTAGGTATATTATACGAGTATTCAAGAGTTAATATAAAAATAAGTAATATGTAAATGGTATTAAATAAACTGCATTTAATAAGCCATTTTAGAAAACTATGATCATATTAAAAGTGTTATGTCCAATTTTAGTAGGCAATCAAAATTGATAGTAGAAATTGAAATAAATTGAATAAAACACTTACTTGTAACAATTAATCCAATGACAAATAAAATCATCATTTTGATTTGTTTCTAATAAAGATTTCGGTCTAATTTCTGTAATTATTTGATCTGGATCAACTTTCATTATAACTGATCTAGTTCGAACCGGTGCTGTTGTTAAATTTTCTTGATTTTTTTTTAAATTATCAATCTTGTTTTTTATACATAAATTATGATTTTCTTCAGAAAATACTGATATGAAATTAGATTTTATATTTGCTGTAGATTCCTTGATATTATTATTATTATCCTGTTTATAAAATTGTTCTTCCGCAATATTATCCAATTCTATTTTAAAATTATTTTCGTCTTGTTTTGGTGGTGTTAATGGTGGTGATGGTAAGCATAAATATTGTTCTTCAACTGGTAAAAATAGTGAAATTGGGATTTTATCTTCAAAATCAGATATTATTGTCGCTGATGTTTTTTTATTATTAAATGATAAATTCGAATTAATACTACTACTATAATCATAAGAATATGGCGGTGTTATTGGAAAATTTCGATTATAATCTATTTGATTTAATTCAAATTTTTTAAATTCCATAATAATAATTATTTATATAATAAATTTTTTTAGTTAGTAATTTTAAATTAATTTTTAAGGTTTATATAATTTTATTTTTGTTTAGTTCCTGTATTATTGTATTTTTGTTTTCTCTTAGTAAAATTTTTTTTGTTGTTGACTATTTAAAAATAATTTTGCAACTGAATAAAATTTTCAAATTATGAATTATTTTATTTTAACTTCTTCTTTTTGGACTTTATAATTATTTAGAAATAAAAACGTATGAGCTGTCCTAGCTTATATAAAATTAAATTAGTAATATAAATCGCAAACTTATAAGAATTTTGATTTAAACTTTTTGCTTTTTAATTTGTATTTATATATATATAATGTATGTAAGTATGTAGACCTGTAAAGCATATAATATATTCTCTTTCATTCTTTATTTATAAATGAGTATAAAATGTCTGGCTGATAAGAATTCATTGTCTTATCAGTTTAATGATTTTGCGACGGCTCTTATTTAGTTCTTGAAATTTTTTTTTTTTTTTTTTTTGTAAGTCTATAAATATGTGTATAAATTTGTAAAATAAATGAAACTATATAAATATATATGTACCTGTAGCATTCTTTTGCTATAGACAAGCAGAAATATGTAGAAGCGGGGAGAGCAAATACTTTAGAGCTTTTAAGTAATTTACTATATAAATTATAATTTTATTGTACCGATTGTTTGGATTTCTTTATGACCTCATATAGTGTTTTTTTTTTGCTTTTTTTTTTTATAAAAATTATTTTTCTCTTACCTTAAATTTTTAGACCTACATTTATTGTATAATCGAAATTGTATTTTTTGGATTCTCTGAATAGAAAAATTAATACCCAAAATTTCAATATAAATTCTAAAATAACATAGAAAAAAAGGAAAAGGAAAATTGGTGGGCTTTGGCTTTTAAACTATTTAATTTAACTTTTTATTTATAGAGACAACTTTTAATATTAAGGTAATAATTTTTCAACTTTATTAAATCTTTTGCATTTGAATAATAAGGAAAATTATTGAATTTAAATAAATTTAAACAATTGCTATTAAATTTTTCCTAAATAATCAAAATTTGTGCAGAATTGCTTCTTTTATTTTAATAAATTTTTTACAGGCATCTTATTAAAATTTCTAATTTATAGAATATAGCACGCTCATTTTATGCTACTCAATTATTAGCTACATTCTTCCACAACTGCGACTTAAATTTTTTTTTTTTTATAATTCAAATTTTCATACATCGTTGTGAAAATTAAAATTTCGAATTATTCTAGTTTAACAGTATATACTACAGTTATTACAGTTATATATACAACATGTTCATATAACATCTACATATGTATCAGATCAAATCAGATCAAGCAAATTACTGAAATAATTTAATTTTTGAGTTGAAATTACATTGTGAACGGTTTATGCACATTATGAATGGATAGTAAAATTTTTTATTGAATTATTTCTTTTATACATCCTGACATATTTAAGTTATTAAGTGGAGGTCATTCGCCCACCATTTTCATTATTAAGTATATATACTTATAAAATCAATCGTATTAAAATTTTATTATTAATTACCATAGCAGACAAATTAATTAAGTACATAAAATTTAAATTAGGTGGAATGTGGGTAGCCCATATATATGTATGTATACATATTATATATGTATGTTTACATTTACATATATGTATACATATGGTATGTCCATATGTACAATATTTGTTTTTATTTTGTTTTGCCGTTTTAACAAAGCAATATGTACTTGTACTTTCTGTTGTTGAATAGACGGTTTTGATAACAAAACAAAAAAAAAGGAAAAAATTAAAGGAAAAATTAAGCACAAGTAAAAAGTCCAAAAGTCCATACATTCTGATGTAATATTAAAATTATACTTTAGTATACAACTTTATGGTTTCTTAATTAATATTGATTTGTTTAGCTCCATAACTCTATATAAAATACAAAATATTAAAATTAAAATATATTGTAAATACGATCATGTAAAAAATCATTACAAATCTTTTTATTAAAAATTTAATGCGTAATACAATAATGAACACAACTTAAGTGGTCTCTATATACGTCTATACATATATATGTATATACATACATAGTAGATTGAGGATGCTGGCTTATCAAAGTTCAATAAGAAAAAAGGAATTGAAAATTTAAATTTTATGATGAATATTATTAATGTCTGCTCTTTTTGCCTTCTTATTACATTTATATATATGTATGTATATGTATTTAAAAATGGAGATTTTCAAAATAATTTAGGATTGTGAATTCAAGTATTTAATATGTATTTTTAAGTCCACATGGTGGATAATATGAAATTTGATTACACAAAAATAAGAAAAAATTCGAATCAAAGAGAATAAAGGATTCTTATATTAAGCAGGTAGTTTCCGATTTTTTATTAAAGATTAATTGATAAATGGCTGTCGTTTAATTTTCAAAATGAAATATTTTAGGTATGGTTCAAGTGAATAATCTGATTTTCAGTCGAAACAACGAAATTTTTTTCGGAATACCATCAAAATCCAATTACATGTTTAATATTATTTTCAGAGCCGTAAACGATGCCTTACGCTTATGGCTAATAAGAGGATTTAACGTTTATACTCACAACGTTTATAAGTCGCAGTTGTGGAAGGATGTAGCTAATATTTGAGTAGCATAAAATGATCGTGCTATTCTATAAATTAGAAAATTTAATAAGATGCCTGTAAAAAAGAAAATAATTTATAGGTTAGCCAAATTACATTTGTATATTTTTAATTAACTAATTATTGGTTTTAAAACATAACACTTTTGACCATCGAACAAATTTTTAATATTTGTTAAATATTAAAAAATTTAGAAGTAATTAACGTCCTTTAACAGGATCTCTATCTTGAAATAGTAAACCAAACATAGTGGATTTGATTGTGAAAATATTGAAATTAATAACATGCTGGAAGTGAAACAGGAATCAAGACATTAAAAAATCATCTTTTATTAATATTTCTTAACTTTTAACTTTTATGTAAACTAAAAACTAATAAAGTTTATAGCATTTCTGTTAACAATATTCACAAAAACTTTAATAATTTATTGAATCCTTTAAAGCTGTTAACATTCAAGATTAAGCTTCATTTGATTTGCCTTAATTTTATAAATTGAAAAGATGTGTATAACAAGTAAAAACATTGTAAATTTTCATATTTTATGAAATTCGGTGAACAGATTGTAAATTACATTGTATATTATTCAAAATATTTATAAAATAGTAGGGCGTAATTAGGCGGGTATAATAGTGTTAGGGTATATAGAGTGGGGTAATATTAAGGTTAAAATATTAGAACAAATAAAAATTTATGATAGATTCAACTTAAATTTTGTGTAAAATCGAAAATCTAACTCTTAAGAAAGTTTTATATGATTGTTCTCTATAAATTCAGTAACTTGTAAAAAAGTTTTAAGTTACTTTTAAAGCTTATTCTAATGTTTTTACTAACTTTTTAAAAATCAAAATATTAAAATAATTAAAAAGGCAAGAAACATTATCAAGAACTTAATGTCATCGAAGATAAAATTCCCTTATATATACTTTACGTAAGAAGGTATAAAGTAAAAATTTTATTCGAATTGTATTGTAAAAATATGGCCATTGAGCACTTTACAAATTTATGAACTAATATAATGAACAGGATTGTGAAGAAATGTAACTTATATAGAATTATACCTATTATATATTTTAATATTATGTATATATTAACCAAATATTGACATTATACCAATATATTATGTACAATATTACAAAAACATTTGATAATCTTCTAGTTCAGTTTTTGCAAATATTGAATATAAAAACTCCATTTGAAATACGTGTTTTAAAGCTCGTACACATTGAAAATTGTTTGATTTTCAAGTACAACGAACTTAACACCTTTGATTTTCAAATGTTTACAAATCATTTTCTATAATGTTATCGCAAATATAATTTTTTGTTTTATAATTATAGACATCTTATCAGCTTAATGAGAAAAAAATACTTAGAAAAATGTTGTAATTATTAAAGTGTTCAATGTAATTTCTTTGTAAATGTAAATTACATTTTAAAATTAATGATAAAATTAACTAATTATTATTAAGTTTTTCAGAAATATTTGATCCTAATGTTCGTTCATATAGTGTTATTATAAAGTATAACACCAGAATACCAGAAATTAAAATTTTATATACGTATGCGTACACATATACGTATATGTAATTCTTATGTATTTAATACTAGAAATTTAACATCAGATCATTAAAATATAATAAAAATAGGTTCTTTTAGTCACATATTCGTCTCAAAAATTAAAACGTCTATATGTATAATAAATGTATATATTTTATACAAACTATACTAGATTTCAAAGTTCGTATTTCATCAAAACTATAAAAATGTGATTCGCTTATTATATATTTCTTCAACAAATATTGAAATTTATTATCTTAGTACTAAAAGTATAATAAAATAAAAATAAAAAATAATTTACTAAGTGCCATTTGCTATTATACATTAAATATAAATATATATATATATATATATGGTGCAAATAATTAGTTAATCAAATATAGTAAATCCAGATTAAACTAGTATCATTTTTAATTCGAACAATATTAAAAAAATATAGGACCGACATAATAAAACTATATCTATAATAAATAATTATAATTATTTGAATTCTAGTCCATATGGGAGATTATAATATTTTTAAAGAGAATATTTTTTTTTTAAATACAAGTTCCGTTTGGAAAATAATTATTTAATCTTATTTAATATTGTAAGGCGAATTTTCATATAAATGTAAAATATATTGCGATATTTGGCGAAAACTGTGCTATTTATGTTCATAAAGAAATGTTACAAATTAAGTGTGTTCATAAAGATTTCCAACTTACCAAAAAAATATTTAAATTATTATGCTTAGCGCAGTTAAATCAATTGAACTGTTTTTTTAAAATGTCAATTGAAAGTGAATTGAGGACAAGAAATTTAATATGATTTCTTTCTGCGTTTTTAGAAAATTATTAAAATTTAA